AGGGCGATATTGTACATCCTAATTAAAATTACTACTCTTGTTCATGCCTGTGTCTAACCGCCAATGCAAATTTAAATTGCTTAAAGATGAGCCCAGTTTTTAAAAGTATTTATAGGAATTTATCGTCATGTCTCGGCTACGGCCATTTTGTGGCCGAAAATAAACCTTCTGGTACAGTTAGTATTAATCAACATGATCTTTGTTATCAAATTCGTCTTAAAAATTGTTCCAAGCCATTGCTTTTACAAATGCTCCATAAATTCATGTTACGCTTTCCGCTATAAAGCTTCGGGTATGTTAAATTGCACTCATTTCCCGCGCGTTCTGTTTCTGACAATTCCGGTTATTTTTTAGCTCACTAAAGAACAGGCCGTTTTGCTATACATTACAACACGAGTTATATACTTCATAGTCACTGCTATACGAAATTTGAATTTCGGACTTAAAGATATGCTCCCTATCCGTACATCCGTTTTTCGTGAAGATTAATGTTTGTTTAGTTTTGATTGTCGATGTCGTTATCAGAGTCGTTGCAATGGTTCAAAAAAGTCAAAGGACACTAGCGACTACATAGAGTGCAGGGAGAACTAAAAAAAGCCGGTCATTTAAATGCCTTCTTCATTCCAGTGTCCATAATTCTAGTTATTTTGCACTGCAGAGAAACGTTTTTTTTTAGTTTTGGTTTGGTTTTAATTCTGTAACTAAGGTTTTCTAAAATAACTTTTAATCAAAACTTTATGTTTTAAAAAACAATTTTTTTAAATCATAACCCAAGCTTTCCTGGGATAGTCCTGAACATTAAATTTTCTGTTTTCCAAATAAAGCACTAAATATTTTTTTTATATTTTTGTAATATCTTAATTTGTAGGTGTTATTTTTGGATGACCTTTAAAAAAATGGTCGCTTTAACATGCGAGGTAGACGAAGAAAAATCCAGTTAATCTTTTTGTACAAGCTAAGAGGCAATGTTAAAATAGTGTTATAAATACATAACATCTCGCTGGTGTTATTTAGCAAGAAAAACTGCGGTAACGGACTTAACATTTTGTGATTTCTGCAGGATTGTTGTATAATTTAAATCTGAATTACAACAGAATATTGGATGGTTGAATTTCAATCTAGATGATTCGAAAACAAAGTTCGTTATGATAATAAATCTGAATAACATTAATATCACAAAATGTTGATGATATTTTTCATTTAAAATTTTAAATTCTCTCGAACCTTGCTACTTCATGGGCTACAGAGTTGCGCATATACAAGTATCCCTCTATTTTTTAAGGTTAGAGCAGGCCTAAAACCGCGAAGCTATTTCAACCTCACCGGTTGTTTTGGCTGGTGCTGGTGCTTTAAATTCAAATATGTTACCAAGAGAAAGTTACCAAAACTGGTGTAAAGCCTTGTTCTTTTGACAATTGACAATTGACATTTCATTACTGTAGAGATTAGAGCATTTGTGTCTATAAACAACACACTCCAGTGGCTCCAAAATACATTGATCATTGAAACATTGAAACTTTGCCATGGCCAAGTAACAGTCCTGACATCAATCCAATCAAAAACATATGCGAGGTAATGGTAAAACGGCTGTATCAAAGAAATTTCATGCCACAAAACAGCGAAGAGCCATGGCATGGTATTTAGAAAGCATGGCAAATGTCGCTTGAAGAACACTTCATAACTCCTTTCATGACCATGAACCGAAGACTTCAAGCTGTGATTCATGCGGATGGAGCTTGCACAAAGAATTAAATTATTTCCAAGTGTTTCTTCTTGTCTTCAGTCAATCCACCATACCACACTCCCATTCCTCTGTACAGTATTAGAAATATGAACAATGAAGTTTGTATGACAAAGACATAGTGGCCTATCAGTTTTTTATGAAACCAGCCGTTCACAAAATGATTAAACAACTTCTACAGACAGGTTGTAACCACAATTGAGAACTTTTGAAAAATATTGAACTTGAACTGAGGTGGCTTTTACTTGATGAAAATCCATTTATCAAAATAAATAAGAACTAAAAGTGCAGATTTTCACGAAATTATATATTATGACATGACAATTGTTTCAACAACACCGTGTCTTTATCAAATGTGACATTTGATAAAGACGCGGTGTTGTTGAAACAATTGTCATGTCATAATATATAATTTTGTGAAAATCTGAACTTTTAGTTCTTATTTATTTTGATTGTAGGAACTATACAATTCTATCCGATGTCCTATGAAGTCTCTTTTCACGTTACATTGGATAAAAAAGAACAGTTCGTTTGGTTTCGTTCCCATTTCGATGACTGGACGGGACTGTTTTTGATTGTATTTGTTTGGAAGCCCAACGTGTAGAACGAATATTACATTTAATAGTACTTCGCCTTTCCCAAAATATGAGATTTTCCACACTACATTTTGCGACAAGTTAATATGGGTTTCGACCTCTTATGCCATTTCCATAAAAGCTGTCAACGTAGCCGTCACCTTTGCTTTAACTATCACTACTGCAGATCAGAAGTAACGACCAGGCGAATTTGATCAAAATGCTGGCCAATATTATTTATCTTAAAAAAGTATCTAAAAATGATGAATAATGAATTTATTTAAGAAAAGTATGATAATGCAGTACTTTACACTATTATTCCGCTACAGGTAAAAATATACAGTGTGGTCGAAAAGTCGTACCTAAATTAAATACTGATTAATAATTTTTTTTTAGAATGACGTTAGAACAATTTTAATTTAGTTTCTTACTTGTTCACATTTTTACGTAATTCATTTATTTTTCAGTGACAGTTATTAAAACTTATTTTAACAACATCAACAATGTGTATTATTGAAGGAAAACATAAAACAGTTATAACTTTCTTGAATTATGATAATGTATATGTAATTACAAAAACAATATTACAAAAAGATAATAATAAATATTTTAGAGCAAAGGGGTAAAAACGAAGATGAGATATTGATATTTGAGTACTTTGAGTGTTAAGAATTTCGCAAGTATAATCTTATTATTTATAAATAGGCAGAACTTTTTATGACAAGTCTTTTTATGGACTATTGAAATTTGTACAGTTGCGTCTATGAAAATCTAGTACAAAAACATATCTCATAACTCCTGATCTATTATAAAAAAAATCTGATTAGATACCTAATAACTTTCTGTGTCACAAATTTTTAAAATGACACAGGGCAAACACAGGTTTTAGACTGTCATGTACGTTCAAATACAGAAACTCTTAATTATCTCCGAAACTGCCAATATGTTTCGGGACTTTTACGCGGCAAAAGCGGTGTTGCGAAGCTTAATAATAAAAACAAAATTTTAAAATTACGAGACCTTACTAAATTGGACATGCGCAATTCAGGCAACAATAATGGCATTAAAATAACAAAATGAGGACGTGTCACGTAAAAGCTGTACATCTGGCAACATTCCCATTAGCATTTTTGAATTTCGCATGTTCAAAAACCATACAATAGTAAATTTTACCAAAATTAAAAATATATACCAGCACTGACAGAACTTCTTAAAAAATAGGTACCCATTAAGATCGCAAATTATCGCATAAACAAGAAAATATGTCTTTTTAAGTACATATTAAATAAGAGTTCTATGCTAATTTGAAAATTGAAAATTTAAAACAATTCATTGATGATAATAATTGCATAGATAATAATAATGATATGCTTGTACTTATTATTTTTCAATCACCAACTTTCGAAGAATTACACACGGATGCACTCTAATTAAATGAATACAAATTAATAAACTTTCAAGTTTCAATAACAATATGGCCGGTAGCAACGCGAGTTAAAACAAAAGTTTGTTTATTTATAATAGACAGGTAACTAGATTACTGAAATGTAATGAATTTAGCTCAAGATTTTTAAGTTGGAGTTTCTGACTTCTGGCCAGCTTTTGAAAATTCGCCTGTGTGCGGCGTCCAAACGCAATAGGTAACAACACGTGTTTGTCTGCAATCAGTAGCGCCACCATCGGAGAATAAATTCGAAAATGGAATAGACACAAAACATTAAAAATAAACACTTTTCTGTGTAGTACAAAAAATTGCGGAAATTGTATGAATTATTACCCGTTCCAATTTGAGTTGCTATGGCGATTTATTGGCGAAAATTGCCGTTTATACCGATAAACTGGTTCATATCGGTGCAACCTGTAAACGCTGCGATACGATAATTGACACATACGGCGGGTAGAATTGAAATTCCGTGCCGACAATCACCCCCACGCAGGCAAACGGCAAATACCCAAAAGTTAAATTGTATGGAAATTGGTTCATATTCGAGGCTCATCTGCGTCCCTTTTGTCCCACGTAGGTGACGCGCAGGAGTAATTGCTAGAATACGAAGGAGCTCTCGAGACGAGATCCGACGACGACAGACCATTAATTAACGGCCGTTTAACAAACTAACTTGATACAAGTCCCTTATCATCTTTTCTTCGATATTAATTCGCGGATGTCTGCCGCGTTCGTTATCTGTCAGTAATATGCCGCTATCATCGAGATTAAACATTGGGAGGGAAAAATATTTACTCAAAACACAATTTTACACGTATATCTATAAATTCCGGATACTCGCCATAATTCTAGACTAGTGGGAACAAAGTTTGTAGGAATGTTTTTGATTCTTATTTGAGTTTTAAGCATATTTTTGCAAAAACTCTTACTATTTAACGAGTTAATTTATTTTTTGTCGTAAAAAACTAAAGGGATTCTATAATATGAAACCAAATACGAATAAATAGAAATACCTATAAGCTGATTAATATCTAATGTCCAGTTTGAGTTTAATTGCGTTTTATTATTAATGTTATATTATAATTTTTAAATGAACTTCGTGATGTAGCAGGCAGACATAAAATAATAAAATATTATTGGAAAATATTTTTATGCCAAAAATTAAACTCATTAAGTGGAGTCATGTGGGGAAAGTGTGCGCAGGCTTATTATTTATAAAACCGTCGACAGTAGAGTAGGGGAATCAACTGCCTTCAGTAGTCACTACGACGTTGGACAAAAGACTAGAGTCTTGTCTGGCAAAGTTACGTAGTTTTAGTAATATTGGTAAGTAAAAATTTTGGTTATTATTCTTACGATTTTTTCCAATTTAGAATCCAAATACTTTTATATTTATGTAGCGGTAATTAGTATTAATTATGTCCAATTATGCTCGTTTATATATCTAATTTTATCAGCTATACATCAAAACTTGGTAGAATGACGCAAAAATGTGTAATTTTAAACTAAATCTGTAAAGGCTATTAGGGTTAAGTGTACGCATACGGTTGTGGGATAAGAGTACGCATATTTTAATGCGTACTTTACCCCGATAGTGAGTTCTTTGTGTATCGACACTCGTTGTTATTTGTTTCAGGTTATACTTATATATTTCTTAAAAAAAACTACAATGCCTCGAAATTACAAGCGGAAGGCTCCACACAGGTCCGTTGTTACCCGTGATCAATTTGATGCTGCTAAGCGATTGATTGCCGAAGGTTTAAGTAAAAGAAAAGCAGCTGAACAGGTTGGAATGAAAGAGAGTACTCTCAGGAAGCGATTAAAATCTGATTCAACTGCTCTAAAATTAGGAAGATTTACTTCAACTTTCACAAGTGAGCAAGAAAATGAAATATATAATTATTTAAAAAAATGTGATGATCTCTATTATGGTCCTAATATGACAACTCTAAGAACATTGATCTACGAGTATGCTGAAATAAATCATATTCCTCATCGGTTTAATCAAAAGTCGAAAATGGCTGGACGTGATTGGGTGTATGGATTTTTAAAAAAAGCACCCTGACTTGAATTTACGACAACCCACGTCAACTAGCATAGCTAGAGCAAATAAAACTGAAAATTCTAAAAAAAAAACAAAGAAGAATACTACTACCAAAGATAAGGCTGTTAAAGTTAAGGCTAGTCAGGAAAATATTAATGATTTTAAGGAAAATGATGATTACTGTGCATTGTGTGGTGAAAAATACGTTGATCCACCTACAGAGGATTGGATTAAATGTAGCTTATGTCATAGCTGGTGGCACTCATTATAAAACTGGTGCTTTCATATGTGATATATGTTCTAATAATTAAGATTTTATCATATTCGTTAAAAACGATCTCATTTGAATTTATCTCTATTCAAAACTGTTAACTACTCGAAGCCTTATTCTCGATAAAAATCAAGTTAAACAGTATTTGTCAAAAATTATATATTTAATATATAAATATAAAAAATGAAGTAAAAAATGATAAGTATTGATAAAAAATAATATTTATAACATTAAATATGGTGTAACTATATGTAACAAGTTATGGTTTAAATTATTACAAATGCGCACACTTACCCGCAGTGCTGCGCACACTTACCCCAATATTGGGGTAAACGTGACTAACATTTATTTTATTTTATTTCTTTAATTACAATTAAGTAAATTGAATTTCATGTTACGTAATTGTTAAATCAATAAATCCTTTAAATAAATACTTTTATTTCAATTTATTTTGTACAATTGTTACAATTTTATGACCATAGAAAAAAAAATGCGCACTCTTGCCCCACATGACTCTAAGGTTTAATAGTATATTATGCAACAAGTTTGACAAATCACTTTAGTCACCACTTTAGTCAAGGAGTTAATTAAATAAACACTTCACTTTTTAAGAAATGATGTTCCGGTTTTCTCGATTCAACATTTTACGTTCATCATCTGATCTGTGTTTTCTGACCTTATTTAACTGAATGCAATTTGCCTAAATGTTTGGAACAATAATTGTAGACTTTCTGCCCTCTCAATAACAAGTAACGCGCTATCTTGGTATACCATGTGAAAGCCTCCAGTTTGTCGAACTTGTCGATTATAATAAGAAATATTTTAAAGTGTAAATCATTAAGCTAATTAAAGTTTTAAAATGTTTTTTTCAGATACGATGTGTTCCAATTTAGATGGTTAGTCTATTTCCTGGGCAAATAGTAATAAAAGCGACAACTCACAGGCCTTCGTTTAAATGGGAGTTAAATTTGTCTCGTTCGAGAATAAACTGTGTTTTGGAAAAGTTTTAGGATGACACTGGTTTTATAATCTTAAGGTCCAATTATATATAAAAAAACCTTCCAGAGCAAGTAATACTAAACGATCAGCGATATACTTTAATATTTTCGATTTCACTCTATAGGGTTTCTGTTTCCGCCAAAATCATATCACATTGAAAACGTTTTTGACATTAATGCACTGATATAGGAAGAGCGAATGAGGTGGCTGATAGTTCGTGTAGGAAAGTGTTATTATATGTTTTTTGAAACGTTCGGTATTAACAATCGTTTGAAGCATATTGAATTGACCAAATTTAAAGTATTCTCATAAAAAGCGACTCAAGCTATATGTACCCTTGTTTAACCGTTGTGTTTGAAATTCTGACAAGGATTTACCGATTTAATACTGCCTTCTGCGTGGATTTCTCTGCCTACCAAAATGAATTATTTTGCAAAGGATTCTCCTAAATACTAGTAACCATCATATAGCTATTAGGTAATACAGGGATCGTAAATGCGGCAAAATTAATAGATACCAAGGGTGGAACTCCGTAACCGAAAGCGATACCGATAGACACACAATATTTTTCAACTTTTTCGTGAGTTTTTAAGCGATTTGCAGAGATTTTATGGCTGTGTCTTAGTCCCCATATTCATAACAAAAAATTCAAAACAAATACCAATCGGAAAAAAAAACGAAAAAACCTCTATCAAACCGAAAAGTATCCAATACACGTTTTGTCATCACCAAGGTATGTACAGCTCCTCCACAACATATTTTTTATGTTGTTTATACTCGTATTTTCATATGTTGCTGGTCTCAAAAATATCAGCATATTCATTCTTTCAGTTCCCTCTGCCGTGCATTCAACCTTTCCGTTCCATTATTGAGGCAAGTCTTTGCTTATTTCGAGGAAATATTACCATTTTAGGGGGACTTTGGATAGTTCTTCTGGCGCAACAAATCAACCTTCTAATACTTTTAAGCGGCTGCTCATTCGCGATTAGGAGATAAATGAGAGTTTCCTCGTCATTTAAACACAACCTACGTCTCGACTGGATACTACGTAATATGGAGGTCCCTTCTTAGGTGGCAGTGTCCTGTCAGGATGGCGTAGTCCCGTGCTACCTAGGCTAAGAACCTATGTCGAGCCTGAATTTTAGAGGGTTCCGCAATTATCTCGTTTAGGTCGCCCCAAAAATCTGGCGATAGTCCCATCTACGCCCTCCTACTGCGTCGAAGAAGTGCTGAACGGTTTTTTTACTTCCAAAAAGGCCGTTTTTTTTAGAACGATCGCAGCTCGTTATGAGCAAGAATCATTTCCGTGGATTTCCCTAACAAATACGATGTTCGTTACCTTAGCCTTTGTACAACGACCCTTAAATACAGTTTTGTCGATCCCTCATTCTTTTTCAACAATGGCAATATATGTAATAGCTATACGCTAAACTTACAGATTTATATAATATAGCTGTTTGGGCACTCAAGTAAAAAATACGGGTTCGTTCGAACTGTCGAAAATATTTCGTGTCATGCGGTTGTCTGACAAATGTCATGCGTGATTGTTGCTATAGATTCTACGATAAACAGATGTATACTGCTTATTCCTTCACATAGAGATTTAATTTTTCGTGACTACAAACATTTTCTACGAAAGAAAACATAGCAATCATTCATTTGCTGTTTTGTCTCATCACACACGTATTCGGGTAGAATTGACTGTTACGTTATACGCCAAGCTCTTACCAACATGCGACGACAAGCTAGCCAAAAGAGACGGGACTGCGAGGAAAAACCGCTAGCAAAATTTTTAAATAGCTGAATTTAACGTTGCCTAGGATTTTATTAGGCAATGCATAGGATCATAAGCATTGCATTGGGATCATAATTTTAAATCCTCTTTGATATTTGTGGCACATTGTAAGGAGTTGGAATATGCTCCCTCTTCGTTTACTCCAAATACTAGTGTCGTGCAGTTTAATATAACATAACGCAATACAAAATTATATCTGTAAAATCACAAGAAATAACGTCTAACAATAAAACAATTATATCCACATATATATTTGCATGCTTAGCACATAACAATTATCGACTTGAGTGCCCGTTCCCTGTTAGAGTTTGCAAAATAATGTCGTGGTGATTGCAACGAATGTAAACATAAACATTTTAAGGCAACAAGTGACTCACTAATTAACCACATAAATTACCAATGCACCACAAACAAACTTAAATATGAAGTCTAAAAGAAGCCAAATTTTCAAAGAAACTTCTATAGGCTAATGTACTATTTACAAACCTTCTGAATTCCTCCTGGGTCGGTTGTTTATAAATCAAACTTTCTGACGCTTGGGAAATCATCCTGTTGGCTTCTTCAGAGCTTGGCTTGGCTTATTGAAACTGAAACGCGGGTGGAATCCAGAAGATTTGTAAATAGTCTAAAAGAAGCTTTCATTAGCGCATTTCCTCTGAACTAGCGGACCCATTTCTCTTGGTTTGGTTTTGAAATTTTGTGAAAGTAAACAGTCCAGCGCCATTATGTACGTTCCATTTTAAATACCAAATTTTTAGTTATGATTAGCACGATAGTACAAATTAATTCCTGATTACTATCCATCCTGCTTAATTATACACCATGATTACAACTGTTAATGCAATCCTATACTGAATTAAAACCATTATAGCATTATAGCGGAAACTAATTATTTTCCTTAACGAGCTGTTAATCTGTACACATATCGGATGTGGCTTATATATGTAACGCTCAATTCTAGAGTAAAGCACAACTCCAACTTCCAGCGGCATAAAAGGGATATTATTGGAAACTCTTGTCTGAATTGAAAAATGAAATGGATTTTTGTTATTCTTCTAGAGGGTTCCCGGTAACTTATTTTTAAAAATCGGATATAACAATTGAATCTATCTGGATTTAATAGTTTAGATGCGATGAAAGGCGAGTAACAAAATGATTTTTAAAGCAACAAGCGGGACTACGGATCTCTATTGATTGGGTTTCCTAGCGCAAGCGGGAAATTTATTTGGGTCGTTTTTTAGATTTTTTTAAATCGGAAACGTATTTTGGTTGTATATACCTACGTCTTTTCTTAGTTGAGGTACTTACGGTGCCGCGGGCATAACTTGGCTTATTCAGCCGATCAGGAGCTTTTCTCTCGATTGCTCTCAGGTGCCGAAAAGACTTAATATATGAAAATAGTTTAAGGACATCTCATTTACATTAAACTAAACTTTTTATTAGGCAAAAAATGCGTAATGTTCTTGATACGTCTTGATATATATATTAGAGCTATTGGAGAGTATTGTATTGTACTCTATGACGAACCTGACCCACTTCGAACACTGTTTTCGCAGCGCGAGCATTGAAGATGTCAAGTGAGATCTTGGCGAAACGTCTGCAGGATTGCAGTCGGAGTTCAACAAACGAACGGATGATATCCCGGAATATATTGTCATCACGACGTCTATCAATTTATTAATTTATTCGAAATTATCTAACCAATTAGATGGTCAATAAAAATAACAAGAAATTTGATTGTGATATAACAACCTTCTGAACAGATATCTAATATGATATTGAGGTCTAGCAAATCCGGGTTACTACAAAAAGCTGCTCATATGGTAACGATATTCCGCAGTTCTGCTGAACATATACGTAAAATGGATTTGGAAACGGAAGTACTTAGACTTGCTTAAATTTGAATAGTAGTGATCGGTTTCAGGAAAACAAAGTCAACGTTTGATTTTTGGCCAACGTTTCGTTTTATATGTTTTAATTTCATTGAAGTTTCAATGAAGAGTGACGTGACGTAAAGTGCATACATACTGGATGTCTTTTTAAAAATCTATAAAATTAATAGTCAACATCGCGTTTTCCTCCAAAACAGAACACTAAAATCGGTATCGACAGAGAAAAAAACACACACAAACAAAAAATGAACTTCAACTCACAGTGATGAACGGAGCGACACTAAATGTTTTTGTTTGATGTTTTACTAGGATATAGAAGACAGTTTCGAATTGACGGAGACTGTCGCAATTGAGAGTTTTAATTGCGCGATATTACCACCCTAGAAAGCATCTTCATATCATGGTGGTTGTCGACGCCATCGTTTTTAGAAAAGAATGAAACTGCTATTAACTGGAAGACGATGATTAACGAGGAGCTTAATCTGTTGAACCCGAAATCATTACACAGTTATAAAGGACGGTAACGCACCCCAGAATAGAAAGGCAACATTCAGAATCAAACATTTATCTCTAACAAGCAAGTTTCTATCACCAGAAAATATGCTTTCTGCGACCTTTGTTTGCAGATCCAAAAACCCTTTTAAAAATATTTATTTGGTTATGTAATTAAAAAAAAACTGTAAAAAAATTACTCATAGAGTTTAAACACCAGCGTGTTCCTTTATCCATTCTCTAAAAACTGAAACTCTGGTAAAGTAACCGGGATAAATATATGATGCACATATGCCTGCGGAAACTATTCCAGCCAGTTTTCTGTTAATAACTGCTGGTCCACCAGAATCACCATAGCAAGCTCCGGGTCCATTTAGGCTAAGACAGAGTATAGTGTCGATACCGTCCCCACAGGATACGACTGTAGAATTTATTGCACGTAATGGATATTTATAGCTGGTTACATTGGGTGGCATTGGGTCAAATGGTGAGTACGTCACTCCCCAGCCTGATACTGTTGCAACTTCTCCTGCCAAATGTACTGTATCGGCATCATCCACTTGAATTGGTATAGCATTTGAAACATTTACTGCTGATTTCAGAGAAATAATAGCGATGTCATAGTTTAGATTGACTTCTCCTTTTGGTATGTCATATAAGTCGACAGCACTAGCATAAATTTCTTGGCCGCCTTTTTCCCAGTCCTTACGCTTACGCTGTATTCAGATAAGTTTCCGTTTGTTTCTTCGGTCCAACAATGATTCGCCGTAAGTACCTTCGTAGAAGAAATAAGAGATCCTCCGCATACTTGCTTGCCTTGGAATAAAATTGCCACTTGTTATGGTACTTCTGAAATGTCCACAAGTTCGCCTCCAATAATCCTGGTTCCCGGATTAAGATTTTTGGGCGCGACTGAAAATTTGTTAATTGCCTCACTAGGTTTTTATTTTATATTGATAAATTTCAATTATAATGAAGGGTTTTTGCATCGGCCCTTCGATTTTTATATATGATGCCGAAATTACAGGGATCTCAAAAAACAAATGTATTATTCAGATAAAATTGTTCTTTCTCACATGTAAATCTTTTGAATATGTATTTCGTTTTCTTTTACTTTATATTATACTTTATTTGTTTAATTTTCGTGAATTTATCCAGTAGTTACTAACAAATGTCATCTTACCAAAGCAATGCACAGAAAAAAATAAAATTATAATTAAACCCAACATTTTTGCGTTAGTTTTAAGCTACTTAGGGCATAAATTTTGAAGTTGAATTTGTAACGTATGTCTTTTATATATAATTATTCGATAACATCCAAGGTATCCTAAGTACTGGAGATAAATTATTGTGCGATCTTTCTAGAAGATTATTATATCAATGAAAAGCCGGAAACATGTGCTTAACGAAACAGCGATCGATCCATGTTGATGAAAATGATTTTATTTTCAAGTAATACAAAGTCTAAAAAACAGGTTGGAGTGGATAACAATATAAAATATTAAAAGAAGTACCTTTTAAATCTATCCAAAGATAAGAAACAGCACACATTTTAAATAATATAAAAAATCTAGAAGTAAAAAAGGTCTAAAACTAAGGCAGGGAAGGAGCGGCCAAATTACAGGAAAAGTCCAAAGTGGCTCACTACAGTGTTTAACTAAGAGGACATTTTAAAGTAACACTTGGGACATACATCTGGTCAGTACATAATTGGGTAGTTTATGATGGGCAGTAGAAGAAAGTCTAATTTTCAATATTTCGGATATTCAACTACCTGAACTTGCCACATTAGTTGTTACCAGTTGAAAAATTAGATGAGAATCGTTCATTCGCAAATGTTATTCATTGCTAACACATTGCAATGCATTGCAAGCATTTAGCTCGTCGAGAGCTTTTTGGAATCGCCCGAGACTCATTTCTGTTAATCACAATAAAATAATCCGACTTCTTATATTTTGATTTTCAGATAAAAAAAAAGATTTATAAGTAGTTAGATACGATTTAAGAACATGTACAGATTAAAGCAATTCTAAAATCCAAAACAAATATTTTCTCTGCGCACTTCACTGCTTCGTTACGATTATAAAGATTAGCAGTTTTGCATTTTTGCGTCTAACGGACCTTGCAGTAATCATATATCCAAGAAAACTGCCTAAAGAATAACTTAACCAAGCTACATAGTTTCTCGTCAGATAAAATAAAACAATTAGGGATATCTACACCTATACCAAATTATTAAAATCCAAATTACTTGCAGAAAATTTGCGTTCCGAATGATAAAATTAAACTGTGCGTGCGGGAACGCAATTGAGAGAATCCTTCGATGAAAATGAACTGCTTTTCTTTTTGAACGATTTTTATTTGCACACTTGTACAAACCGAACAAATTTGCGTCTTAATTCGGGAGGTTTTTGAAATAGCTTCTGCAAGTTGCCCTAGCAAGACGGCGACTGGGGAGCCTGGCGCGCGGGTGCGACGTTGATGCGCAGCGAGGTTGCCGAATGAGAACGTTAGCGTTAATCGCTCGTTTTTTTAAACTTAAACATAAACTTTGATAGCCATTTCAATTTTTCTTTTTTGTAATATGTTTAAAATCTCATAGCAATTTCACCGTGTATTGTGGATTCGCTATCTTTTTCCTCCAGTTGTTCCCCTTGGGACGAGCTACTCTTTAGTCATGTTATATGCAATAGAAAATTTGGGTTATTAATGAACTTCTTAAAATGCTTCATTTTTCCTATTTCCATTTTTTTTTCGATTTGTCTCCATATCCAATAAAAATTTGAATTTCAATTCTCTGAGTTTTATTTACTTCGGTTACTGAGAGAAATGTAATTTTAAATTTAAGAATTTTACTGGTACTAGATACTGACCAGTTTATTTTAAAATTAAATTTCTCTTTTTTGTTATTTTGCTCATAAAAAATAAGAAATAGGTATGCCAAATGAATTATGCGTGAAATTTGACGGAGAATTCGATAATGCATTTAAAAAAAATGGGGACCTATTAAAAAAAGGAACTTGAAATTAACATCTACTTTTTGACCTATTTTGTATATTTTCTATTTACTACAAAAAATACCTGATTTTCAAATGATTTTTTCTATATTTTAGCCCTTCACTGTATACTATAACTATTATAAAGTATTATTGTGCAAGATAATATTCCAACTTTTTTTCCAATCTATAACAGATTTGCTACTTTCATTTAAAAATCTGACCCTTTACATCATGATAGTTGTCGGGTTTAGAAAAGGATGAAACTCCTATTCATCGTCTAACCATTAGGTTGAAGATGAAAAAATATTCAGCTTAAAGAACAGGGACGCACCGTAGAATAAAAAGAAATCAAAATCAACCATATATCTTTAACATGAAAGTTTATATCGCTAGAATATATCATTTTTTTCACTTGTGCTTGGAAATCCGAAAAACGTTTAAACAATAAATATTTAATGAATGTAGATACAATACACTGTAAATATTACTCAAAAGATTTAAACACCAGCGTGTTCCTTTATCCATTCTCTAAAAACTGAAACTCTGGTAAAGTAACCGGGGTAAATATATGAAGCACATATGCCTGCGGAAACTATTCCAGTCAGTTTGCCGTTAATAACCGCTGGTCCACCAGAATCACCATAACAGGCTCCGGTTCCATTTAGGCTAAGACGGAGTAAAGTATCGGCACCGTCCCCACAGGATACGACAGTAGAATTTATTGCACTCAATGCAACATGTACTGGGACCATAAGGGCTGCGTACGAACGGAGACTGGAAACACCGAATACGTAAATATAGAAAGAGGGGTAAGACAAGGATGCATACTGTCCCCACTCCTATTCAACGTGTACGCGGAGTCTATAATGAAAGCATCATTACAGACCTGCCCCGAAGGAGCTAAAATAAATGGGAACATTATCAACAACATAAGGTACGCCGACGACACCGTGGTGATAGCAGATTCGGAAGAACAACTGCAAACTTTGATGAGCATCCTAAATGAAGAAAGCTCAAGAATGGGCCTGGAAATCAATACCGCTAAGACCAAGACCATGGTATTTGACAGATCCTCACAGGGGCACATAACCAACATTATGATAAATGGTCTCAGACTTCAAACGGTGCAACACTACATCTACCTGGGCAGAGAAGTCAACAACCAACTGGACCACTCAAAAGAAATAAGAAGAAGAATAGAAATCGCCAGAACTGGATTTCTAAATATGCGTAAAGTGCTATGTCATCCGAGACTATCAATAACTCTCAGACTAAGAGCACTTAAATGCTACGTATGGGCTCTATTGCTTTATGGCTGTGAGACATGGACACTTAAGCAAGACGACATCAAGAAACTCAACGCATTCGAGATGTGGCTTTATCGACGTATGCTTCGGGTCAGTTGGACAAGCCACACAACTAACGACACGGTGCTACGTAAAATGAATACACGAGCACACTTGTACACGCTCCTTAAAATACGTAAAACCGCTTACCTCGGACACATCATGCGCCACACGCCATCATGCACGAACAGCTTCAGCTGATATTGGAAGGGAAGATAGAGGGTAGACGGAACATAGGCCGAAAGAAGAAATCATGGCTGAGAAATATCCGGGACTGGACCCACACCGATGGAAATGCCCTCATACATCAAGCCCAGAACAGAGAAATGTATGCCACAATGGTCGCCAACTTCAGCAGAGACGGCACTTAGGAGGAGGAGGAATGGATATTTATCGCTGGTTACATTGGATGGTATTTGGCCGGATGGTGAATATGTCACTCCCCAGCCTGATACTGTTGCCACTTCTCCTGCTAAATGCACTGTATCGGCATCATCCACCTGAATTGATATAGCATTTGACACATTTACTGCTGATTTTAGTGTAATAATAGCGATGTCATAGTTTAGATAGACTTCTCCTTTTGGAATGTCATATAAGTCGACAGCGCTAGCATAAATTTCTTGGCCACCTTTTTCCCAGTCTGTAGAACCTACTCTTACGCTGTACTCAGATAAGTTTCCGTTTGTTTCTTCGGTCCAACAATGATTCGCCGTAAGTACCTTCGTAGAAGAAATAAGAGATCCTCCGCATACTTGCTTGCCTTGGAATAAAATTGCCACTTGGTATGGTACTTTTGAAATGTCCACAAGTTCGCCCCCAATAATCCTGGTTCCCGGATTAAGATTTTGGGGCGCCGCTGAAAATTTGTTCATTGCTTCGTTAGTTTTTTTATCATGATATTAATAAATTGAATGGAAATGAAAAGTTTTTTTCGAAAACATTGTTGGTTGATTGATCGATTGATTTTTATTCCATTTTCTTTATGTGAAGCCGAATTGATTTCCAGAGGCAGATGTAATGAGATATTCAGATAAGATCGTTTTTTCAATAATGTAAATCTTAACTCTTAATTCCTAAACTAGAAATGGCATGTTTGCGTAGACCAGGTATGCTTTCATAAGAACAGTTCAAATTAAAGTTATCCAGAAAATTGAAAACGGAAAGAAGCCTTGTGTTTTCTTAGATTTATTTTCAATAATTAATTGTTAGTTATGCATTTTCCAATGTTTTTTTATTTTTAATTTGTCTGGTACTTAGTAACTACAAACGCAATCTTACCAAAGCAATGCACGGAAAACAATAGAATTATAATTAAACCCAACATTTTTCGGTGAGTTTTAAGCAACTTACGTTCTGACATTGAATCTGCAAAGTATGTCTTTTATATATAATTATCCGATAAGTAGATTTTATGATAAAATGGAAATATTGGATCCCAGATAGTGAAGATAAACTGTCGCGCGATCTTACTGGAAGATTATGATGCCAAATGCCATAAAACATGTTTTTGACTATACGGCGATCGATTCGTTGATGCGAATGATTTTATTTTTGAGTGACACCAAGTTAAAAATGTCAGGTTGTTATGTTGTTGTTTTTGCATGATATTTTCCAGTTAAAAGGTATTTCCAAGAATGATGAGCATTTGAAGAATTTTCAAATTATCTTAACGAAATAAGCAACAAATTAAATCGAAAAATTTCCAAAACGTCATTTCATATCACATATCTTGTAATTAGCTAGTTATTTTTGCGTGGTGTGCTAGACATATACCCACAGGGATAAACTGCGGTCGCTATAATAATCAATAAATTGTTATGTTCTCATTAGTTCTATATATAACTATATCTGTTATGAAATATTATTTTGCTGGGTAACATTGCAACTTTTAACGAATTTGGTATAAAATCTATTTTACTTTTACTTGTGAAAAAATAATTCACTGCGTTATCTTGTTCTGTATCAAAACGAAAATCCAATATCTATTTTTATCATTACAATAGCGTGCCAATAGCAAAGAAAACCTAGAATGTGCCTGAAAATGTTAAATTTTTAATTTTACCCCATATACCACAATCCAAAGCAATAAGTTAGATGCAGCCTTCGTTTCACAAAAAAGTAAGATAGAGTTACGCAAATCGCAAACTGGCAACTTATTTAATAAACGAGATAATCTTTAACAGAGCTGAAAATTGAACAAGTTACGTCTGTATATGCTCTCCGAATTCTCCTTGCATATCCGATAACATCTAAGAAGTTCTACCTATCGATCTGTGACAATCTTCAATTAAAAAAACAAAATTATAGTAACAAGAACTTTACTACATACATCTAAACTCCCGCATGTTGCCGAATCCATTCCCTAAAAGCAGAAATCTTGGTATAGGCTCCAGGATATTTCTCCGAACCGCATATTCCACTTGAAACAATACCAGCTAGTTTTCCGTTAATAACCGCCGGCCCACCAGAGTCACCGTAGCATATTCCGCCTCCATTTTGACGAATACACAGTATGGTATCTGGAGAATCTGAGCTATCTCCACAGGAAACGACGGTCGAATTTATTACACTTAGTGGATATTTACCAATAGTTACATTGGGTGGGATTGGTTCGAATGGTGAAAATGGTAACCCCCATCCTGATATCGTCACTACTTCGCCGTCAACGTATACCCTATCAGCGTCATCAAGCTGGATAGGAATCGCATTGGAAACATTTACCGCTGATTTCAAAGTAATAACAGCGATGTCATAGTTTAGGTAGACTTCGCCTTCTGGTACGTCGTATAAATCGACAGCGCTTGCATATATTTCTTGGCCACCTTTTTCCCAGTCTGTAGAACCTACTCTTACGCTGTACTCAGATAAGTTTCTGTTTGTTTCGTCGGTCCAACAATGATTCGCAGTAAGTACCTTTGTAGTGGAAATAAGAGACCCTCCGCATACTTGCTTGCCTTCGAACAAGATTGCTACCTGATACGGTACTTGAGAAATGTCGACAAGTTCTCCATCAATAATCCTGCTTCCTGGATTAAGATTTCGGGGCGCGACTGGAAATTCGTTAGTAAGTTTGGTTAGTTTTTTTATCTAATGGAAGTTAAAAGTTTATTATTAATTGTATAATTAAAAATAAGTTATTCCAGACTACTGAAAAATGGGTGCTGTTTACACAGGAACATTTCGAAAAAGTAAAAAATTAAAAGTTCCTCTGTCATGAGAGCCAACGTAGAAACTAGTAAATATTTTTGACAATTATTACCTCTGTATCGATCTTGCCGACAATTTTAAAAACAGAAGTGTTTAACAAATCATTTGTTATAGATAGCCTAAATTTTTAAAGCAGAAAATAAAAAGAAATTGTAAGCAAAATTAAGTATTGTATTGAATTTTCTATTGTCCATTACAAATTTGTCAAAATCGCCCCTTTTTCATGAACTCTGCGTGAATCTACTTTCAGGCTTTATTTTAAATTATATAATAATTGTTTCGCTTAATTCTCAAAGGTACTGTCAGTCTTTTTGATAATATTATATGCGCGGATGTAGAACTAATAAATAGCTTACCAAAACTATGCACAGAAAATAATAAAATTATAATTAAATTTAACATTTTTGGAATAGTTGTAGGCGACTTATGGCGAAATTTTGAAGTTGAAAATGAAAAATATGTCTTTTATATATAAATTATTAGATAAGAAACCCTATGATAAAATGGAAATTTGTTAAAAATACTCGAGATAAGAAAATTTGTACTTTGCGGATTAACGTAACTCAGCGGTTGATCGGTCTCCAATGAATACATTTATTTTATTTTCAATAATTCTCAATCCAATTCTGCTATCTTAACTCAACTTGATTTAGTTCAAACCAAATAACACTAAACGAGTATCTATTTTATACATAATTATGAGAAGCCTGGGATAAAATGAAAGCACTCAAGATAAGCAAGTTTTGCGTGATCTTACTTGAAGATTCACATAACAAATGTCGGAAATTTACTCTGGAAGATTTATTACTTATTGGCTACTCAACCAATCATCGGGTACGCCGCCTTCCGCGGTTGTTACCAATATATAGGATATAGCGTCTTGAAATACCCTAATTTACGCTGAACGAGCTCTTGTCCGGCAACGAAGAATCTAGTTAATTAGGCAACTGTACAGGGTTCGCAACATTCTTGGATGAAATATTTTATCATCATTTTATTCTTTGAGAAACGACAGTATCCACTAACAAAAGTGCATCGTGAAGTTCTCTGGATTTAATTAATATATTTGATCTGAAGATTACTGAATATGATATATTGGTTTATTGTTATAAAAACATTGAGTGGGTTTATTATTGGTAAGGATACATCAAACTTTGATAATGGATCTAATAAGTCACTAGGGTTAAGGCATAAACTTAATAAAATAATATACAGGTACTATGCTAGGAGTTATTTTTTGATCTAGGCATATTTCGTTTTACTTACACCATAGCGTTTGTTTGGAATCCGATTTTCACCTTTAAAAAAGCGCGAATCGTGCCTCTGCGTGCTCACAACGCGTAAGAACGGCTTCAAAAAATCGAGTTAATGTAGACTTTAAATTTGAAACTCATTTTTCAATCTCTTAAATAACGTTGGTTTCAGTAACTTTCAGTATCTATATTTTGTTTTGGCTTTTGCTATTTGATAGGCGCCAATTTTATTACTTTCATTCGTTGGGAAAATTTGCAGTTGTCAAATATTGGCGGTTTACAATTTTTCAATTCGGCTTTTCTAATTTACAACCCATACGTACAACCCTAACAACTTTGTTAGTTAAGGTTCCGAGAAGGTCATATCTTTTTTCTGTTTACCAAGAGATTCCTTTTTCTACCTGTCGATATATTTATTTTTCCTGGTCACTGCTATTTTTGTTTTTGCAGTTTTTTTAAGTCCACCGATATTCCGATTATTCGCTTTGGGAGTCCGTTTCAATGGGATTTATTATATTACCCTGTGTTTATTTCTTTCTCGATCGTCTCTTGGTTTTATAGTAATATTGCAGAAAGTTGTGTGGATAAGTGATTAGTGGCGACCACCTCTGATAAAGGAAGAAGAACTCTGATTAAGTATTGCTGAGTTTTCCTCGACCAGTCATTACAACAATATCTATCGTGTTTTGTCGTCCAGGTTTGATCCGCAAAAGCAGGATTTAATTATAGTCTCCGCCAACAATTACTTCCTTAAAACATTTCTGTTTGCAATAGCGCAATTTTGTACATAAGACCTATTACTTTTCTATGAATCGCTATAGTATAGTATAGTAAAGCTTTCAGCTTTTCAGTCTATGAGCCTCACTCTTTCCTTCCATCTATTTCGCAAACAACTTTCTTAAAATTTATCTATTTACGCAATGATCTTTAGGTTCACTGCTAAGGAAGGTTTTTTATCGTTCGGATTATTTACTTTTCTTTAACAGCAACTCCAAGTTCGTTTTTAGTAGTAAAACACTGTCTATTTGTTCCTCTTGATATTTCCCTAAATAGTAAAATAAATCTACAATGAAAAATTATGTAATTAATGCTAAAACTAAATTTATAATTTAGATTGGAAACCGAACACTATCTGTCCTCTATATTCTATTTAGGCAATGATTTATAATATACCCCGGTAATATAAAACGTTATTATAATTCTATAACGCAGGTAAATCTGAATATCCTACATTAGTCTTCAACATTATACGACACATGGAAAATTGTTTAACCTGTAATATTCTAACACACAATAACGCGTTTTACCACAAACCGAAACTCAATTTTACGTACTTGACGCGCGTTTCGCCAACCAAGTTGGCATCTTCAGTTTGATCGTAATATTCTAGAAACATAGAAATTGTACAGAAATATGGACTATGATAAAATGTTGTAATCAACCTTCTGCAAACCTGGAGTTTAAGACTTAACCAATACATTCTTTGAAAGTTAATTGAACAGTCAAAACTTTTATATTTACATATAAAACTATTTTTAATTTTATGCTAAATATCACCTAAATTATGGCAAGGTAAATAGGTTTATATAAGCCGAAAATTTGGAGTTTTTCTGTTGCGCTTATGCCAGTCCGCTAATAAATTATTGCCTGTAATTGGTATTGGTATTGGTAATTACTGTAATATAGAGTAATATAGAATATCTAATTATTATTGTTACCTTTCGATGGGCAAATAAGTCATAAACAGTTATTTCAGGGAATGGCGAAAAACGATGAATGCAATGAAATTTATTTCATTTAATGTGGTTATAAATTTTGCTAATAGAGTTTTAAATAAAGTATTAGAATATGAAAATAACCTTTTTAAAATAGAACTTTTGTATTCAACTTATTTTTACTGCTCTGAATGCTCTAAATGCTCTGAACAATCTGATAAAACTAATAATAATTAGAGCCTTAGATCTGGAGATATCTATGACTGACTAGAATTAAGTTAATTACATTGACATTCCTATTGCGACTAATAAATACCAACATCAATTAAACATGTACTTGTATTAGGTGAAGCACAAACTAAAATTGTACTTATAAAGCACGACCGGGTAAATAAAAGCGAAAACAAAAAAATGTTCATTCGGTATATTGCCAAATTCATCAAGTTGGCTTGACTAACTTAAAACAGAGTTTATAATTTTGGCTTACACATTCAAAGATATTGTAATTTTTACTCTGATAAAGCTACCAAAATAATCTGGGTGCCTACCTACCTATTATTAACAAAATCAATTTAGCAAAAGTTTTTAAATTCATTTAAAACATTGTACAAATCATACGTCAGAAAAGTAAACACTTGCTAACAAGTGAGAAAAAATTCGCTTGCGAATTGCTTGCTCACTGTTGCTACTGACAAACAAATCATTAAATAAACCGGATAGGGTGTCACATGTATATAAGCACTTATTTTATATGGTATTTAATTTAAATATTACAAAAATGTATTTATTTTAGACACCTGTAATTTCTTGAATCCATTCTCGGAAAGTGGAAATTCTTGTGTAATATGCTCTAGCCATCGATGACCCACAGGCTCCTCCCCCTCCCGTAGAAGTCAGACCAACCAATTTTTTATTAATTACCGCCGGGCCACCAGAATCGCCGTAACATGGACCAGTCCCATTTTGAGCGAAGCATATAAAGTTTCGCAGAACTCCGGTATCGCCACAGAATATAACTGTAACATTAACTGCTCTCAATATATACGGATCATCGTCATCGTCGTCTAATGCCAACTGGGTTAAACCCCATCCTGACAAAGTAGCTACTTCGCCATCATCGTGTACCGCATCAGCTTCATCCATGACAATGGGGATTGCATTAGAGACATTAACTGGAAATTTAAGGGTAATAATGGCAATGTCATAGTCTAAATAACCTTGTCCGGGGGGAACGTCATATACAACCGACTCCGCATAAATTTCTTGCCCGCCTTTGTCCCAGTAGTTTGAACCAGCTCTTACGCTGTACTCGGAAATATTTTGATTGGTGTCCAGAACCCAGCAGTGCAAAGCAGTTAGGACATGTTTTGCTGAAATCAAAACTCCACCACAAATTGGCGAGCTTTGATATAAAATCGCCACTTGGTAAGGGTACTCCGAAATATCCACTGTCGTGCCATTGACGATTCGAACTCCGACATCAGTAGATGGAGTAGCTGAATAACGATGAAATTAAATAATGTATTCTTTACATATTTGCTATTAAATATCTACTAATAAAAAAAATGTAAACGTGTAAAACTCCATGTACAATTGAGTGTAAATATATTGATTTAATTTTTCCACAGAATTTCTTCCAAACATCTTTATTATCATTATCATCGATACAGAATTTCACTAAGTAATATTTACTTGTTAAAAGATATATAGATAACGAAAAATTTGAAGGATCCACAGGTTAAAACTCCGGTATAACAAAGATTTACAGATACAATCGAACCGAATCGAAGAAAGAGACGCTTTCGATCCCTTAAAATCTCGGAGTAACTGTGACTTCCCCTTTGAAATTGTGTTTGGAGAAAGGGAGAGAACAATTAAATATATCGATCATAATCATTTTAGAAAACAACATTTTTATTTTTTTAACAAGGTGCTAGTGATTATAAACTCAACTATTATTCCAACTATTACACTAATTTTCAAACTCACCCAAACAAAAACTCAGAACAGCGAAGATAATGCCCAGCGTTAACATGACGATAACGCCATCAATGAGCGAAATAGCAATTGCTACTAACGAACATATGATAAACCTACACTTAAGATAACAATGATGAATAAATAGCATCTAATGTCTGACCTATCTGATAATTCATTATTAAGATCCTTAGTTGCGCAAAATCCTTTTTTATTTATTTTTTTCGCTAGAGCTACCTACATGCTTCTGTTGCTGTAACCTTAAGAACGAGTATTGAGGCGCGGTATGCTCTCTATGCAAGACAATACATCATATATTATTATTATTATATTATATTATATGATTTTATTTATTTACTGATGGTCCTATCCAACATATTACCTAGCATTACAGGATAATATGCTGCAACTATTCAACGATAAAGATACGTTTTTTTCCAGCAAAGCCCTGCGTATTTTTATATTGCACGCATGATGATTACCGATGTCTTATCTTTTCAATCCCCGACATACTAGAGTGCTCTACCGAATAACATTTTAAGTTTACGTTTTTACCAAAGTTTACAAAATATAGATAAGTTTCTTCACTTCGACTTTCCGTAAATCGATTGTCCGCTCCACTTCAAAGACCGCAGCTTATTTTTATAGCTTCAGATATTGTTCTTGGACAGTCAAGGGGATATTAACGTACATAACGTATAACGAGGCGTATACAAATACTTTGCACAAAAAAATGTAATATTTCAAATATGTGAGTGAATTTGCGATTCTGTTTTTAAACTAATTGGTGACAGGATTACTTGATTCACTCTTTGCTCAATAAAAAATCAATATTAGTAAACCATTATTATGCTTTTACTGAACTTCCTATCAGATGCAAGTTAGAGCACAACAAACAACTTCTGTTTTCTATATTCTATCTCTGAAAATGATTTAAGCGTACGCCTTATGTATTCATAGTTAGCATTATTTTCCGGCAACGATTGATCAACCACCCTAAGTTTTGTTCGCGCACTCAATATGTAATCGCAAACCTATCCATGACAAATAAAAGTCATTGTGTATGCAAAGGGTGAATTCAACTAAATATATTTGAAGAAAATTTGTTGTGGTAAACATTTTTTTTTGCTAATATGTCGCTTTTATTTTCAAAATTTACACGAAATCTATAAACTGACATAACATTGCACATAAGCATATTCGACAAAGTATTTGTTATTATCAGAGGATCTGATATTAACGGGTCGATCCATCTTTTCCACTCACTCTTATATTATCCCGTAAATTTGGTGTTTACCGCACCTTAAAATAAACTTATTTATATACGGAATATTACAAAATTACGTTTTGTCATCGTCAGAAAATTATTGTGTACGACTCCTGTGCGCCCTTGTAAGCATATTTCACTGTTGAACATTTTTTGAATAATGTGCTATAAGTAAACTTAAATGAGAAGGCTTCTTTAGCTAGAAATAATTTCACACCCGAAAAACAACACAAGCGACCAGCATGGGTGGTCCCTGGTACATATTTGGGTCAACAGATCGGGGTTTCAAGATTTTAAGTATACCCAAGGCCATCTTTGACATATTGACATATAAAAGATTCACACAGATCCGCCTAATAACACCTCCCAAAAAGAGAATAGGATTTAGAACAACAAATGTAAGAAAAGGGGGCACTAGTCTCTCGTGGTATTAAATTTTACATAATAAGAGGAACATTCAATTGATCAAACATTTTATTGATGATGAGTAACACAACCGTATACTTTTCAATAATTATATAACTTAAATACCAGTCTCTTCACGGATCCAGTCTCTAAACGCTGCTATTCTGGTATAATACGCCGAATAAATGTCTGAACCGCATACTGTGGTGGACGCGAGCCCGACTAACTTACCGTTAATCACAGCTGGACCACCTGAATCGCCATAACAGGGACCAGATCCATTTTGAGCAAAACATATGAACTTATTGGATGAACCTTCATCGCAAGCTGTAACTGTTAGATTTACTTCTTTTAACGGAAAATCTACAGGCGCTGATGCGTTTAATGGAAATTGAGTGGCTCCCCATCCAGATAATGTTACAAGTTCTCCATCCTCGTGTACAGTATTAGCTTCGTCCAGTGCAATTGGAATGGCGTTGGCAACGCTAACTTGCGATTTTAACTTAATTATGGCGATGTCATCTTCCAGCCAAGTTTCACCTTTAGGGATGTTGTATACAACAGACTCGGCAAAAATTTGTTGACCGCCTTTTTCCCAATGAGTTGAACCGACACGTACGCTGTATTCGGAAATGTTTTGGTTTGTTTCCGGAGGTACCCAACAGTGCAATGCGGTGAGGACTACCGTAGGTGATATCAAAACACCACCGCAGATTTGATGATCTTGAAACAACACTGCTGCTTGATACGGAACTTCTGAAATATCCACTTCTATGCCGTTTATGATCCGGCCTCCTATACCATCGTAACGCGGAGGAGCACCTGCAATTAGACAAGAACAGTAAATAGTTATTATTAAAGTAATTTAATATTTTTATTAATGTTTATCGTGAAGAGAGAAAAATAATGCAGACGGACCTAAGCAAAGGGTTACAGTCCCCAGAAACAAACCTAGCGTTAGCACTTGCATGTCTCTGTGAACTAATTTTGACAAAATCAATGATATCCAGATGTTTATATAACCAAACTGGTACCTGATAAATGAAGATAGTGACATCCAGATAACAGCTGACAGGAAAAAACACAAATCCCTTTCTTGATCATTTGGGAATTCGCAAGTGCACGCCACTGCTCATATGAATGAGTAAAATTTAGTTGTTGTCGATTGTTTCTAATCAGTAAATAAAATAAGCCTTGTAACATCAATGTTGTTGATTTTACAGAGTGTCGCATTTTGGACTGCTTAACAACTAACAAACCAAGAGAGGGAAACAGGACCCTGTTCAGAATAGAAGCATGAATTTGGTGTTTGAAGAATTTGTGATGCGTCATGGTACTGATTGTATCTTGCAAAAAGTCCTACTTGATGTTTAGAAATCCTGGAAGAGGATATCGTACCATATTGATTCAGCATCAGAACTTAGCAGAGAAACTTAGCATTGATGGAATCGAGATCGAGGCCGTCACTAGTATTAAAGACTTGGGTGTTTGCTTCGATTCTAAACTAAATTTTCTGACACATTTTGCGGAAGTAGTAAACATGTCGATGCGAGTCCTTGGGTTTGTTGTACGCAATAGCGGCCAGCTTACTCCACATTGCCCTAAACTTCTTTATATCTTTTTGGTTTGCTCTAGACTGGAGTATGCATCTGTGGTATGGTCTCGTATTAATATCTATAATAGGTATCAGATGAACTACAGTATTATAGCTAAGGCCTTCAATATTGATACTCTGAGTGTAATTTATTTTTTCTCTTTAAGATTCTGAATGGTTGGTATTATTGTCCAGCTCTTTTACATAGCATACAATTTGACGCATATTACAGAACCTGTGTTAACTCAATATTCCGCATACCTTACCAACGTGCAAATTATGGAGTTTATTCACCCCTTACTAGAATGCTGAAAGCGTGCAACTGTTTAAAGCTTGATCCTTTTGTCGGCAGCCTTCGCTCATTTCGTTCTGATGTGTTCCGTTTGAGTGCTGCCACTTAATTCTGTTTATTGTTATTGTTACATTTTGTTCTGGTTTCTAGTTGTATACTTTCTTTCTCTTTGCCTTTAATGAATATAAAAGTTATGTAAATTGGGTAAACCGTAAATAAATAAAATAAATAAATAAAGAGCAGCTGTAATTAAATCGCCATTTAAATGGCAGCCCATTTTTAATTTGTTCTCGCAAAACCTAATATTTGAAATATTATATTCCACATAATGATTTCACAAATATGTGGCATACTAATATCATATAATTTAACCAGAGTTGTGGCGACCTCATACTTTATAAGTTTTTCGATCTTTTAATCAAACACATATAAATTTATAGTCATTTAAGTAGTTCAATGTTGAACAAAAATATTGAAAAGGACAGGGTCGATCGTTTTTATCGTTTAAATCTTCCTGCACACACTGTGTATATTGTTAGATATAAGGATTTTAATGCCACAAGGACAACCCGCTTCACCGAACGAGGTGAGATGATGATTTAAATTGAGAATTTGCTAAATGCTACTACGCCTTTAATTACGACCTATATAGGGGAAATAATTTCCGATTGGGATAACAACATTATGGGCACATTTTTTTAATCGCATGTGGTGGCATAGTCAGATATTTTCTAAAATTCTCTGTTTTCCCACAAATATATATTGTACGGTTGTTTATATACATCGCAAAAAATGGCGTATATATAAAGTAATTTTAGTTGAAGTACAAGTGGGCCGTTCATGTAGCTATCAAAGTCAATCAAATTTCACATTATCTTGGCGGCAGAAACATGAAAATTGCTATATGGGACTTTTCTGTTTTGGAACCGGAATGTAGTTACTTATTTTAATGAATGGAAATGATTGATGGAATATAGTTGAAAAAACTAGAACTTGCCAGTAGTCTTTTTATTATATATAAAAGAAACGTATTATTACAAATTCATAAAATACACCCAAGCACTCGAACTTTTCTTAAACAATTTACTAATGTTCAAATGATGGGTGATACCACGCTGTCAGCTCTTTTTTATATAGCTCTCTTTCACGAGTTCAAAATTGCTGCAAATCATTTTTTAAATGCTCACATACTCTCCAAGAGCTCCGTCCAAGGTATACATCAAAAATGTGGACCGGATATGTCAAATCGCGGTTATTATTGTATCGAAAGATAAGATGGCGTTTCATTTAAATGTTTCGTTAAATGAGCTAACATATTTGCGCGTTCGCAAGTTCTGCTACCAGCTCGGCTCGGAAATTTGATTCAATAATGGTGATATGTAACTTAGTGTGTAATACGTTGAAAGTAAGAAGTAAAAATCCTCTTGTATGGTAGCTTATTACGAGGAAGACAATTTTTTACAAAGAGTAATGTCTTCTTCCGACTGACTCACTGAAAAAATCCTAAACTTTGTTTTGGAGAAAACAGGAGGAAATATATTCCTTTTGAAAGAAACACTGTAAACAAACCACTATTTGTTACAGAGAATTTGCACAAGCATAACGGATTCGTATAAATTGTTCGCATACCGCAGATTAAAAAATAAAAATAAATTTACGTTGAATTTTATTTTTTATTTTTATTTTAAATGTGGTGTTATTTTTGAGAATCAAATTGGTAGGCACCGTTGTCGTGTGTTTCCTTCATTCGGTCCTCCAAAATTTTATTTTTTTTTTCGCGAATGTTTCCACTGCCGACGAAGATTCGTTTTCTATTCGATTCCTCTATCGCCACCATTACTTCCGGTCCGTTGCTTGCTTCATCTACGCCAGGGTAGAAATTCACATCCGCAAACTCACGGATATTTTGAAAAAAGATTTGCATCTCTGTTTCGTCGTCGGTCGTAACTCTAAGGTACCGGACTTTTCGATCCACGGTCTCATTTTTCGGCGAATACGGCAGGTACAGAAAATTCTGTACAAACACATTGTTGAATAAAAAATAAAAATAAAGACTTACCTAAATAAGTGTTTCAAAAAAAACACCAGCATTTTCTCTGGTATTCTCTTCTCTATGATCTCGAAAATAAAGGTCGGTGGCTCGTTCATTTTGCTCTGACTAAAGGTTTTCGGAATTTATACCTTAAGATCATTGTTATGGAGATAAAAGTGCAACAAGGTATGCTTAAATTTCAATTAGTGATATAGGCAAAACAACAAGTTCTACAAGTGACCAGTACGTATTTCTTTATTTTTATTCTTTAGTGGATTGTTCTTTAGGTTAAGAATTTTTATTATAATGGTTTTTATATATATAGTTATATACTTATGTTATTCGTTTAATTTATATGTTCATGTTACAGATAAAAGCTTTAAGCGAATTATTTATTTATGTAGAGATTTCTGCGGTATTTATTAAGCCGATATTTTTCTACCCAGAAGGGCATTTTTTTGTGTTAATTAGCGCCATTAAATCTATATTCGTTGGTATTGTTTTATTTCGGCGAGCGTCATTAGGCAACCCAATATATTACGGCTCCTTTAGGGCATTGCTCTTTAGGTTAAGATTTCTTATAATAATTATATTTATAAATCTTTAAACAAATTATTTATTTATGTATTCATTTTTGCTATATTTATTACGTCGATATTTGGCTACCCAGAAGGGCATTTTTTTGGGTTAATAAGAGTCATTAAATCTTTAATCGTTGGTATTGTTTTATCTTTTCTTTCGACAAGTTAATATAGTGCGACTCCTTTAAGGCATTGTTCTTTAGGTTAAGAATTTTTGTAATAATTGTAAATATTATTAACAGCGTCTGGTTGCTGTATTTACATATATTTGCGCGACCTCGGTGACCTAATAATCTCGCTCCGAGGGAAAAAAGTAACGTAACGCGACGTGTAATATAACCATACCCAAACCATATTAGAGGTGATATCTGGCTACCAAAACTTGAGCTATTAAAGCGCGACATCTCTCGTTCACTAGCCACAGTAAATTCGATTTTTTTTGGTTGGTTGGAAATCTATCTATCTATCTCCCCGGGGGGCGGGGGATGTAGAAGTTATTAAAAGAAAGAAGAAACATCTTCAATTACATCTCCATCATATTATGAATAATCGATGTTTTTCAAATCCGTTACAAACCTTGGCATAAATTCGTTGTATACGGAAGAAATAAGGAAATTTTGTTTTATATGTACAGCGTATCTCTCATAAAGTGACCCATATACTTTCCTCCATATTACGAATAGCGCGCAAAATAGATATTAGACTAACTGCATTTGCAAATGGAATACATTCACACAAGAGTTAAGTTATATTGTACATTGTAAAAAACACACAACTAATTAATATATTCCCAAATTGTTTCACTTGGGTCTGTCACTGTATAATTATTGGTATTTTTGTGTACCCTATTGTGTAACGTTCTCCACAAAAAAGTCCATTGGTATCAGGACTCCTAGACACCACACATCTGTTCCATTTTTAAAGAGGTGTATTGCAATGGTAAAGTGAGCATAGTCGTGCCCTTCATAAGAACAACAGTGGCAAGTGTAGGTTGATGTAAACAGAATGAGAAACTGCGCACACAGACCGATACCTTAATTCACATCACCATCCAGTCTAAAAATCATGGGTTATCAACTCTCTTGTTTACACAGCAGTAAAACTATCTCAGCCCGAGTCACTGAACCCAGAAATGAAACACCTTACATCTGCTCTTCTCTATAATAATTTTCACATTAGAGATATCAAGCGTTAAATCACAAAATACACTTCAACACAACCTTCCAAAAGTATTGGAGTCCGAAAGCAATTCCACACTTGCCGCTGTTGTCCTTCCTTACATTCAAAACCTCACTGACAAAATATCAACATTTCTTAAGGATTATAACCTTAAAACCAGATTTACCACTTGTCCAAAATCCCATTCAGGTCTTTACCTGTCACCAATATATACCTGTCAATCACCCGAGATAATGTTTGTGCCTTTTGTTTTAGTTCCGCCCTTTATATATAAGCAGGTACAGACTGATTGTTAGGTTGCTTATAGATTTTTATAGACTTTCGGAACAGGATGATTGGCGAAACATCAGAAAGTGCGCTTCAACAACAACCAACGCAGGAGGAATCCAGTTTTGTAAATAGTATTACAGTAGCCTGTGGAAGTTTCTTTCATTTTTAACGTACGTCAGTTGGATTTATTTAAGCCTGGGTCACACTCAACGTCTCTTACACTATTTTCTGGAAATATCCAATTTTTAGTTTTCCGTCAATATGGTCTGTTGCGTTTATTTTCCTTCAAGACTCCATGTTCAATTAAGTCTCTTACATATTGCTACTAGAGCTATAGTGGCCCTGCCTATACCGATAAAACACGATCTCATAAAGCAAAGCAAAGCGAAATTTTTTTTGAAGAGGTCCATTTAACATTAAAAACAACATATCAATATCTTTTCCAAATGTGGCTTGATCTAGGCCTCGTTTGTGCGCTATTAAGGTGATAACTATATAGGGGAATATTTGTGTGTGCTTGGGGTATAAAAGTCCCGTTTTGAGTATATTTTTTTTAATTGTAAAATATAATTTTCAGTTAAATGTTTTGGTAGTTTACAACTTCTGTGCCTTATTTACCACTGTAGAAACCACAACAAGCTTTCTGGGGTTACAGGGCACATTAAGCTTCTTGTTTTTGGGCCATATATTAATCAAGTTGGCAACCGAATGTGACTTTTCGTCAGCAACAGCTGCCTTCCAGGCAAGGAAACATTTAGATTCAGTCAGTATAATAAAAGTATTTGTTTAAGTTTTAGATAGTGTTATAGTTTTTTGTCTTAGATAATAAATATGTTTAATTAGTTTTTTTCAAAAACGCATTATTCAGTGCGTTTGATTATTTTTTTCAATAGCGTGCGCAAAGATTTAAGAAAAAAGTCAATCATTTCACAATCACTATATATAGGCATAGAATACGTTATATGCACTTTATACTAAAGGTATAAATACAAATAATAATATAAAGCAATGAGACACCTAACTCTAGATTCGAAAGTTACGATAAATTTTTAAAACTTATTTGGTGTGTGTATATTCCTTTTCTAAATATTACCAGTTACCCTAATATCTATTTTCCGAGGGTTTCCTAATATGCTGATTTTTCAGCCGAAAAAATACAAAAAATGGAAATTAGTCTTAGTATTTAATAAATTGACCAGATATAAAAAAGTATATTACATTTGAATGAAGTTTAGATTTACGGTATCACAAAATAATTTTATAAATGTTCACATTTCAGAAAAGACGCGATAATAGATTCTTCTTCACACTAACCATATAAAAAGCAATTGGAGTTGAGAAAAAAGTGAATTGCAAAAACTCAATACTTAATGGTTCACAGAATTTACGAGAGAACATTAAACATCAGCGTGCTCCTTTATCCATTCTCTAAATGCCGAAACTTTGGTAAAGAATCCGGGAGAGATATAAGAAGCGCATATGCCACCTGAAACAATTCCTGCCAGTTTTCCGTTAATAACTGCTGGTCCACCAGAATCACCATAGCAAGCTCCGGTTCCATTTAGGCTAAGACAGAGTATAGTGTCGAGACCGTCCCCACAGGATACGACGGTAGAATTTATTGCACTTAATGGATATTTATCGCTGGTTACATTGGGTGGTATTGGACTAAATGGGTCATATGTTATCCCCCATCCTGATACTGTTGCAACTTCTCCTGTCACATGCACTGTATCGGCATCATCCACCGGGATTGGCACAGCATTGGAAACATTTACTGCTGATTTCAAAGTAATAACAGCGATATCATAGCTTGTAAATATTTCTCCTTTCGGTGCGTCGTGTATATCGAAAGCGGTTATTTCAATTTCTTGGCCACCATCTTCCCAATCTGTAGAACCTACCCGCACGCTGTAGTCAGATATTCTGGCTCCGTCGATCCAACAATGTTGCGCAGTCAGTACCTTTGTAGGTGAAATTAGAGTTCCTCCGCAGTTTTGTTGCCCATCAAGTAAAATCGCTACCTGGTACGGTACTTGAGAAATGTCTACCTGTTCGCCTCCAATAATCCTGGGCAACGTATTTTGTTTTTGTGGCGCGGCTGAAAAGTGTTTAATAGTTTTAATTAGTTTTTAATTTATATATCTAAATCAGCAAGGTCTTTGACCAAACATTTTTTAGTTTTAGCTTGAACTCCTTAATTTAACGCAAAAACATATTTAAAAAGATAAAAGGGAATCGTTTTAAAATTAAAAACTGTTTTAGATTTTCTCATTCTCCTTCAGAGCGCTGTTTGAAATACATGACCGAGGGTCAAAGAGAATAGTGTAATCAGGATGTTTGATGATTTCGATAGAGAAGCAAGTTCTAGATGCAATTATTTTGGCCTTATCGAATAAAATCCGATATCCTGTTTGCTGATGATATTCAGGAACTGCTGATGTCATTATTTGTCGAAATCGGATTGATCCCTGCTGTTCTTTTAGTTTCGTTGATATATTATTTGCTACAGCTGCAAGCTATGCTGTAAATAATTGCTGTTTGGACAGGAATATTATCTTTAACCGATCATAGATCGAGTAGGACAAATAGATAATCTATTTTGAAAATGTGGAAGTTATAGTGGCTACAGTGGCTAACATAGGGCCAATTAGTTTCTGTAAGTGATTGTGGTAAAGTGTGGTAAAGTGTTTTTTATATGGGACTATTGATGACTATTTTTTGAACATGTTCAATAAAAATATTCGCGATAAATTGGGAAAGGATTTTGGAAAAGATGATGGTCTGATGGTATATTGAATGTTAAGTTCTATCGAACAAGTAGAAAAAAATTATGAACAAATATTAAGTACAGTGTGGGTTCCGCACTTTTCCCTGTCAATATTTTTAGGAAACATGTTGATAAAATTTAAACTGTGTAAAATGTTGGTGATGTTTTTGTTCTCTGGTCGCACGGTTAGATCTCTCTTCAAACTTTCGTGGATCACTTAAATTCCATACAATCAAACATCAATTTCCTTTCTAGACATTCTTATTCATCGACAACATAATGCTACTCCGTCTATAGAAAATTGACTCATACTGATCTATACCTAAATGCAAATCATATCAGAGAGCGCTCTGAAGAATCCAGGACCAGTCGGATATTGATTGTATTGTATATATTGTAATTGTGTATTTTCAAGAAAGTAGTATTTATTTCTAATAACAAATAATTTGTTGATTTATGTAGTACATAGTAACAAAGATCTTACCAAAACAATGCACACAAATCAATAAAATTATACTTAAAGCTAACATATTTCTTTTAGATTAATACGATTTTTGGAAAAATTTTGACTGGAATACACCTTTTATGTACAATTATTAGATAAAGAAAACTAAGATAAAATGAATATAACGTTTCAAATACTCGAGATAAGAAAGTTTTGCGCAATATCTGAAGATGGACATAACAAATGCCGGAAACATATTCTCCACGATAACTGATTAATAAAATGTGAAGAGAGAAGTTATGCTGAATACTCAAAGTAAGGCTTAATAACTCCAAATATATAAAATAGAAAAAGTATTGCCTTTGTTTTGGCTTGTAGTTAACTAAAATGAAATGTTTTACAAATTTTGCATGGGTAAAATCTCAATATAGCATTTTTGCTTTAAAAAAATAATAAAACTTTTTTTTCCTAACATGAACCGATTTCTAGTCATCTAATAAAGCATAAAATATGCAAAAACCCCATAAACGACTATTCAACTTTTTGGGAATCCCGACATTTGATATATATTTTTTGCCTGAAGGTAATGGTTTTCCTACATTTCACCAACCTTGCGGTATTTCGCCCCATTTTCTTTCTAAACAGCAGTTTCCACAGACCCAACTTGTTTTCCTAGAAAATTTAACGAGATCTATGCATATTTTGAGAATATAATGCCTTAAATAGGCGGCATCAAAAGTTATTGACTGGCATGTTGGTTTTTGAATGTGGCAAGGACGTCGGCTAAAAAAAATTATACTTTACAATTTTTAAAGAAAACAGTAATAATAACGGGACTTTTATGCCCGAGGCACACCGTCACGATGCTCGTCTTGCTTCCGTTTCCTCCAGTCGCGACACATTTTTAAAAGGGAATTGCAAATTTACCATGTATTGCTATTGCCTTAATGGCTCACCATAAGGCGTAGGTTAAGGCATATTTTGAAAAAATATTTCTGTAAATATGTTGCATCAAAACTTATTGACAATCTGTCAGGGGCCATGTAGTTTATTGAATGCCGCAAGATCATTGGTTAAAAGCGAGACTTTAATTCTCGCGCATGCGCATGTTGAATGAACCTTCCCAAAATTTCTTTTCATAATTGCTTTATAAGTTCTTCTATTATCAGCATAGGCAGGGCCACTATATCTGTAATAGCTATATGACTGAATCAATAATTTGTATCCTTTTTTTTATAGATTTAGTTGTGTAGGATAATGCACTAAAAAAGATGAAGCAAAATGTATTTTCTACTCCCGTCTGTAAAATACCTAATTACACACCGATATAGCGTGCGGGAAGCTTCACTTTACCACGTCAGTTTCGTTTTTGACGGGATCCGAGCCACTTCGGATATTTTCGGGATTTTACCTCACGGTTTTATGAGCAATCGGATGTTTTCGGAGATATTTCCCACGCCTTGAATTGTGACTTTCGTCAATTCTGATGGTCAGGTCATCGGTGAAGGTATTCGTATTGTTTTGCGAAAATGTACCCAAAAACTAACGGTCGTAGAAAAAGTATAGTATGCAACACGTTCGGTAAACTTTTTAAGTAACTCGTTTATTAAAAACTCGCTCCGCTCGTGTCAAATAAACTCGTCAGCCAAGTTCCGTTTACCGCACTTGTTGCATAATATACTATTTTCTATTCATGTCTGTAAAATACCTAATTATATACCGATCTAGCACGCGGAAAGTGTCATATTACCATATCAATTTCCGTTCGCACAGATCGGAGCCACTTCTGGGATATTAACGCACGGGATTGTGAGCAATCGGATGTTTTCAGAGATATTACTACACGGCTTGAATTTTGACGTATGTCAATTGTGACGGTCATGACAGTGAATTTATTCGTGTTGTTTGGCAAAAATGTACACAATAAATTATGGCCGTAGAAAAAGTTTAAAATTTTTAAGCCACTCGTTTATTACAGCCGTGGAAAATAAACTCGTGAATCAAAATGCCGTTTACCACACTTGTTGCATAATACACTATTAACTTCAGTCCAGGCAATTCATGGCAGATTTATATTTATTAAAGGAATAACCCCGTTTATGCAAAGCTTCATCAAAATTTCCTTTTTGGAATAGAAGGAAGTGAACAATTCGAAAAGCATATTTTGTGTCATCGTCATTGCGGATCATTCAATACTTTTTTTGGGAGGTTTATGTCTCCCTTTCGTAAATTAATTTTATTGTAGTTCCAATGTCTTTCCGATTTATACTTATATTTTAACATTTTCTTGAGTCGTAAACATATCATGCACAGTTTTATTTTGATGATTTTTAATTCTCCTTTTCACTAATATCGCTATTACTTTTGATACTATGGATTTTTGCTTTGCCATTGAACTTATTGCATAAGGTACTATCAAGGAATGAATCAGGTAAATAACAGCTCTATATCCACGAACTTTTTGGGTATAAATTGCAACAATAATAATGAAGAATTTATTTCGTTAAAATCCCAATTGAGTTCTATCTTTGCCTTTACATTCTGTCTTGAGTATACATATTAGCAGCTACCTAAAACAGCCCACGAAAATTTATTGCCGCAAAATATTTCGCATCCCTCCTGGAATATTTAAGCCGCACACCTTGCTCTCAAATTATGTACGTGGGCGGACTGAGAAATAATTAAAGCATAGTTTCCATTTCGGTGCCTCTCTTTATTAACAATTTCCCGGCTTCTCGGTTATATGTTTAAGATCGACTGTAAAATATTTACAGCACTTTTATAACTCCACAAAAACTGCTAACTCTTCGATATATGAAGTATTTATCAGGACCAAACTTCAAGATGACGTTGCGAGAAAAAAAAGTACTAACACTGCTGCTGCTTACCAATTGCATATTTATGCATCGAAATCGAGAAAGTCGCAGATATGGCATCCATAATTGCAAAACATCACTAATTGCAAAACATCGGGAATACATTTATTGAGTGATATGTGAAGTGATAACGGCAAAATACAGTCAGTGTTTTAAATTACCCAAAAAGATCATACCACTCATAACCTGTGACTAAAATACCGCAAACCCCCGAATTGCTCGCATTTTAATGTGACATGCTGATCAGTGCGCAACTGAATATTTTATAGTTAGGGAGTACAAAGAATATTGCTTTAAAAAAGATAATGGTGCTGGAAGCACATCGTCAATATCATTGGGTTTCAGAATTAAAAAATGTTTTCCAAATCAAAACATTATTTGATTCCACACACATTGAAAATTGCATTTTAAAGGATACGATACGTAAGATACGTCACGGGAATGCGGAACAAACTGCATTGAATTTGATTTCCCTAAATGGGCTCTGAAATTTTCATCAACGCAACTAGTTCGCAACTAGTGAACTAGTTCGAAATTTCTACATCTATGTCTACATCTCAAATATTACAACGTATAGTACAATTTATACAAAGGACTATTTCTACAAAAAACAAATTCCATTATTTAAATTTTCAATTGCCCTTGTTCCGCGCCAAAATGAAAGTTTAACATTAATAATTTTTTATTCAAATTCTACTAGAAATCAATTTCTAACTAAACATAAAGTAATGAAGCAAAGTATAATAAAAAACAGCTAAATCACTATTTTTACTAATATTGGCGACAAATTAAAAAAGGGGCGAGACACAATAAAGTTAACAAAGCATGCAATAATTGAACCTGTGTGACCCGATTTTGTTACAATAGTAATTGGTCGAACGCAACGTCAACTTCATTCGAAAGATAAAATAAAACCATTATACTTTCACAATTATGTCACAGGTAATAATAATCACAACAAGATCAAGCGCAACATAATTTCAACGTAATAACAGCGATGTCAGTTTAGGTAGACTTCGCCTGCTGGTACACCTTTGGCCACCTTATCCCAGTCTGTAGAACCTACTCGTACGCTGTACTCAATAAGTTTCTGTTTGTTTCGTCGGTCCAACAATGATTCGCAGTAAGTACCTTGGTAGAGGAAATAAGAGACCTTCCGCATACTTGCTTGCCTTCGAACAAGATTGTCACCTGATACGGTACTTGGGAAATGTCGACAAGTTCGCCATCAATAATCCTGCCTCCTGGATTAAGATTTTGGGACGCGGTTGAAAATTCGTTTGTAACTTTCGTTAGTTAAAAGCTTATAATTAATTGAGAATTAAAAATAAATTATTTCAGACCACGGAAAAATGGGTGCCGTTTTCATAAGAACATTTCGAAAAAGAAAAAAATTAAAAGTTGTTATGCCAGGAGAGTCAACCTAGAAACTAGTAACTCTTTTTGGATTTTATTACCTCTGTCTCGATCTTGCTGACAATTTTAGAAACAAAATTGTTTAACAAAACATTTGTTATAGACAGCCCAAAAATTTGGAAACAGAAAATAAAAGGAATTGTACGCAAAATTCAATATTGTATTGAATTTTCTATTGCTTATTACAATTTTGGTAAAATCGCTCTTTGAATTTCATGAACTCTGCGTGAACTACTTTCAGGATTTATTTTAAATTATGTAATAATTATTTTCCGTAATTCTCAACGAAGTAATCAGTCTTTTGATAATGTTATGTACGCGTACTTAATAACTAATAAACATCTTACCCAAAACAATGCACGGAAAATAATAAAATTTGACTTATAATTTTTGGGCTAGTTGTAGGCGAGTTATAGCGAAATTTTGACGACGAAAATGAAAAATATGTCTTTCATACATAATTATTAGGCAAGAAATACTGGGATAAAGTGAAAATTCGTTAAAAATACCCGAGATAAGAAGATTTTGCGCGATGTCTTCTGGGGATTGATATATTTAACGGTTGGTCTCTAATGAATACGTTTATTCTATTCTCAATAATTGTCAATACAATTACATCATGCTTAACTGTGATTTAGTAGACCAAATAACACCAAACGTCAGCGAATGGAAAATTTATTAATTATTTGCACTATAAGCCTGTTCCACTATTGGTCCTAGCTAAATGTAATAACTATTAGCTAAATAAATTGCAAAATGCAGCATTTCATGAAAATACTCCCCGATCCCATTAAATTTTCAGAGAAACCTAAGGCTACTCAACGAACGAACCAGCGTATACCCGTCTTCCGAGGTTGTTACCAACGGAAAATCGTGGAGCCAATGGCTGTTGGTCGTTTGGATGTGGCGTCTTGTAATACCCGAATTTACGCTGACTGAGCAACGAAGGATCTAGAATCTTTTATTCTGTGAGAAGCAGTACAATATCCACTAACAAAATTGCATCTTGAAGTTCTCTGGATTTAAATTTAAAAAAAATTAATATATTTGATCTTAAGGATAATGAATCTGATATATTAGTTTATTTTTTGAAAAACGTTAAGTGTGTTTATTCTGAGTATTACCACATATTAACTTTAATTAATTAGTTAAATTAATTGGTAAGGGCACATTATATATTAATAATATCCCTTAGAAGTATCTAGGGTTAAGACATAAACTTAATAAAATGATATACAGTTACTATGCATTAATAGACATTTTTTGATCTAGGCATAATTTTCGTTTTAATTTATACCATTAGCATTTGTTTGGAATCCGATTTTCACTTTTTAAAAAAGCGAGAGCCTTTCCTCTGCCTAGTCATAACCAGGAAGAACGGTTTCAAAAAAAAAGCGTGGTGACTTTAAATTTGCGATTCATTTTTTAATCTCTTGATTAACGTTGGCTTCAGTAACTTTCAGTTTCTTTTATTATGTCTTAGCTTTTCCTGTTTGATAGGTGTCAATTTTATTACTTTCATTCATTGTGAAAAATTGTAGTCAAATATTGGCCGTTTATATTTCTTCAAATTGTAGCTTTAAATTATGGCTTTTACAATTTACAATAACCCATATATACAACCCCAATTACTTTGTTAGGTGGGTCATATCTTCTTGATGTTTACCAAGACATTGCGTTTTCTACCTCTTGACATACTTATTTTTCCGGATCACTGCTGTTTTGTTTTTTTTTTTGTGTCCACCAACATTCCGATTGTTTGCTTTTGGGTGTGTTTGTATGGGATTTATTACATTGCCCTGTGATTATTTCTTCCTCAATAGTCTCTAGGTTTTATATTATTATTACAGAAATTCGCATGGATAAGTGATTATTGGATTAGCGGATTATTTTTCATACTTCAGGAATAGGCAAATTTTTACAGATTCAGTAAAAATATGCAAGATTCTACCTGTCCTCTATATTCTATACGACGGTAATTGAAAACGTTATCATAATTCTATAATGCAGTTAAATCTGAATCGCAATATTCTAGAAATGTAGAACTATTTAGCCCTCTGCCGAGCGGGAGTTAACCAATACAATACAACCAAAATTTTTAAATTTACATAATAAATTATTTTAATTTTATGCTAAATATCACATAAATTAAAGCAATTTAATTACCTTTATATAAATCAAAAATTTCTAGGTTTTCCAAATATTGAAAATTCCTTATTTTTCTGTTGCATTTATGTTAGTCCGGATAAATTATTACCTGTAATATAGAGTAATATAAAAAAAACTCATTATTTTTGTTCCCTTGAATTAAACTTGTTTATGCAAATAGGTCATAAACAGTTATTTCAGGGAATGGTGAAAAAATATGAATGCAGTTTATTTCATTTAATTAGTTTATAATTTTTTTTTTGCTTTTTTTACAAATGTCGGTGAGTTTATATATATAATAAAGTATTAGTATTAGTATTTTCGACTTTGCTTCGCCTATTTTTTAAGACAGTAGTTTGACCATATTCACCACCATATAAATAGTCTAAGAACAGAACAGAACGGCACTTAAGTACTCTGAACATCTGACAAATTTAATGGTAATTCGAGCCTATGATGAAGAGATACCTGCTACTGACTATAATTAAGTTAATTACATTGACGTTCCCATTGAAACATGCACTTCTTTCACAAAGTTATCCCAAAGCAATTAAACCTTGTGTTAGATGAAGCAAAAACTAAAAACCAGATAAATAAAAGCGAAACCAAAAAAATGTTCATTCGGTACATTGCCAAGTTCATAAAGTTGACTGGAATAGCTCAAAACAGGGTTTATAATTATAGTTGGCTTACGGATTTAAATGAATTGTAACATTTACTCTGGGAAAGCTACTAAAATTAACTTACTATTAAGAAAACCAATTTAGCAAAAGTTTTTAAATTCATTTAAAACAATGAGCAAATCATACGCCAGAAGGGTTAATGGTTAACAAATGAGAAAAAATTCGCAAGCGAATTGCTTGGTTACTGTTGCTACTGGCAAACAACGGATAGGGTTTCACACCTATATAGGCACTTATTGCATATGGTATTTAATTTATGTATTACAAAAATATTTTAATTTTAGAAATCTATAATTTCTCTAACTCATTCTCGGAAAGTGGAAATTCATTAACATGCTCTAGCCATCGACGACCCGACGGGTCAACCGAATCGCCGTAACATGACCAGTCCCATTTTGAACGAAACATGTAAAGTTTCGCAGAACTCCGGTATCGCCACAGAATATAACTGTTACATTAACTGTTCTCGATATATACGGATCATCGTCATCTTGGTCTAATGCAAAGTGCGTCAAACTCCATCCTGACAATCTAGCTACTTCTCCATCATCGTATACTGCATGAGCATGATACATGATAAGGGGGATGACATTAGAGACATTAGCTGGAAATTTAACGGTAATAATGGCAAATTCTTGCTCGCCTTTGGCATAGTAGTTAGAACCAGCTCTTACGCTGTACTCCAAAATATATTTTGATTGGTGTCCAGAACCCAGCAGTGCAAATCAGTTAGAACATGATGTGCTGAAATCAAAACCCCACCACAAATTGGCTTTGAAATAAAATCTCCTCTTTGTAAGGGTACTCCGAATTATCCACTGTCGTGCCATTGACTATTGAACTATTACACAAATTTTCAAACTCACCCAAACAAAAATTCAGAACAGCGAAGATAATGCCCAGTTTCAACATGACGATACCGCCACCAATTTCTGGGCAAAATAGCAATTTTTAATAACGAACACGTAAGTATACAAAATATGATAAACCTACACTTAAGATAACAATGATGAATAGCGTCTATTGTCTGACCTATCTGATAATTCATTATTAAGATCCTTAGTTGTGCAACATTGTTTTTATTTTTTTTAGCTAGACTCAGCTACATACATCTTACTGTCGCTGTAACTTTATGACCTAGTAAACAGATAAATGCTTCACCTAATATGCTATTGAGGCTCGGTATGCTCTCTATGCAAGGCAATATATCATATATTATAATTATATATTTTATTATTTTATTCAACGATAATGATACCTTTTTTTTTTCCAGCAAGGCCCTGCGTATTTTTATTTTGCATACAATTGATGATTACCGATGTCTATCTTTCCGCGCCGCGCAGCGCTAGACTGCTCTGCCGAATAACATTTTAACTTTACGTTTTTACCACAGCGTTACGGTACAGGGCGTTTATTTTTTTTATTTTTATTAATTAATCTGGCAGTTTTTCACATATATTCTTGAATCTTAGTGTCTATAATTGTGCTGTTGGGTTACACTTTTTATATAAACTTATTAAAACCGCATACCAGGACAATAAAGTGTTATCCTACACTTTATTACCCCCAAATTTTCTTGAAGGAAACTTATTGCGTTTACTTTGCATAATTTTCTTGCCGTATTAATTTTTCCTTACAAATGTACCTTTTGATGTATATAATAAAATTACAATAATAAAGAAACACACAAAAATGGATATTATTGATATTAAGATATTAAGATAGACGATTCAAAGTGGAATTACAGTTATTACTTATTCTATAATTGTCTAACTTTTAATTTAGTAAATAATGTACAATATCCGCCAAATTAGAACTGTTATCAAAAATTATGCAAAGAGTTGATACTGCTAAAGTTTCTTGTAGTAAACATTTTTTTTCGCAAATATGCGGCTTTTATTTACAAAAAAACTATAAACTGCCTATATAATCATACATAACCATTTTCAACAAAATATTTTTTATTATCAAAGAATCTGACATTAACGGGTCGGCCCATCTTTTGAACTCACCCGTATATTAATAAACTAATTTATATACGAGATGTTATAAATTTACATTTTGTCATCGTCAGAAAAGTACCAGTCGTATGCACCCTTGTGTGCATATTTCACTGTTCAACAATTTTTGTACAGTATACTAAACACTAAACACCGTGACTTTAACGTAGCTATTTGACAATGCTACCCAGTAAATACTTACTTCACGCACTAATAACACCACCCAAAAGGAGAAGACGATTTTCTCAATAGTGGTATTCAATTTTACATAATAAGAGGAACATTCACTTGATTCGACATTTTATTGATGATGAGTAATACAACCGATTTTTTTTTCAATAATTGTATAACTTAAATACCAGTCTCATCACGGATCCAGCCTCTGAACGCTGCTATTCTCGTATAATACGCCGAATAAATGTTTGAACCGCATACTGTGCTGTACGCGAGCCCGACTAACTTACCGTTAATCACAGCTGGACCACCTGAATCGCCATAACAGGGCCCAGATCCATTTTGAGCAAAACATATGAACTTATTCGATGAACCTTCATCGCAAGCTGTAACCGTTAGATTTACTTCTTTTAACGGAAAGTCTACAGGCGCAGACGCGTTTAATGGAAATTGAGTGGCTCCCCATCCAGATAATGTTACAAGTTCTCCATCCTCGTGAACAGTATCAACATCGTCTAGTACAATCGGAATGGCGTTAGGAACGCTAACTTGAGATTTTAACTTAATGATAGCGACGTCGTTTTCCAGTGAAGTTTCACCTTTAGGAATGTTGTACACAACAGAGTCGGCAAAAATTTGTTGACCGCCTTTTTCCCAATAAGTTGAACCGACACGTACACTGTATTCGGAAATGTTTTGGTTTGTTTCTGGAGGTAACCAACAGTGCAATGCGGTGAGAACTACTGTAGGTGATATCAAAACACCACCGCAGACTTGATGGTCTTGAAACAAAACTGCTACTTGATACGGAACTTCTGAAATATCCACTTCTATACCGTTTATGATTCGTCCTCTTATATCATCGAAGCGCTGAGGAGCAGCTGCAGTTAGACATAGTTATTATTATTATTATTATTATTATTATTATGTTATTATTATTATTGTTATTATGTTATTATTATTAATGATTGTAGCGAACAGAGAAAAATAATACAGACTAACCTAAGCAAAGGGTTACAGTTCCCAGAAACAAACCTAGCATTAGCACTTGCATGTCGCTATGAACTAATTTTGACAAAATCAATGATATCCAGATGTTTATATAACCAAACTGGTACCTGATAAATGAAGATAGTGAAATCTAGATTACACATGACAAAAAATTGGACGTACAGAGTGTCTAATTTCGTATACTAATACTAGTATACGGAAGTAAAAAAGAGAAGCAGGCGGTTTTCACTTAATGTCAAACTTGAACCAATACAAAACATTTCTGAAAATTTATTATTTTGGGATACCACGCATATCTAAGTTATAATGTGTCCAGACAGCAAATGAAAATGTTGGTATTATTATACGATGACGTAAAAATATACTGGACTACAAATCTACTACTACTAAACAAAGTTTTAGTGTTTAGAACTTGTGAACTTAGTGATACACCAAGTAAGCTAAATAAAAAAAAAAGAAAAAAATCAGAAACTAACAGATTGGCCGTATTAAACTCTGCTATCTCTGGTTTTCATTTTCAAACTTGTGTACTCATTTAAGCTAATGTTTTAATTGATCAGAAAATTTCGAGTAGAATAAAGTAATTATTTACGTCTCGCAGTTATTCTTTACCCACACCGAATTTAAAATGTCAGGACAATCTGAATCAGATTGGTGGACGTTATCGGATATCAAATTAACAAAACAATTGATTTATTTGAAGGTCTGAAATAAGCATATTAGCTATAAGACTATAAAAATCGCGAGCAAATGAAAGTTTGATTTCGATTAAAAAGAGGGAATTAAATATGGCAATATTTTTTAAGACAATATTTTATAACTCAAGTAAGTTTTTTATAAAATGGAAAAGTTAATTTGTCTTGGAAATGACAAGGAGTTTGGTTATGTAGCAGGAAGAAAGATATGCAATTATATCTTCATCATATTATGAATAATCGACGTTTTTCAATTCTATTACAAAGATTAGCATAAATTCGTTGTAGATGGAACAAATAAAGAAATTATGCTTTATATGTACAACGTATCTTTCATAAGGTGACCCATATACTTCCCTCAAAACTTCAGCATGTTAAGAAAAGTGCGCAAAATAGGTATTCTGCTAGCTAGTTACATTTGCAAAAGGAATATATGAACACAAGACTTAAGTTAAAATGAATGAATAGTGCACAAAACACACAACTCTTACTGCGCGATCTTCGAAAACGAGCGTTTGGTTATTTTTTAACTTTTGTGTTCCATTGGATTCACAACTCCTACGGATCACGTATATATCCCATTTTTGGAGTTTTAATTGAAATGCTTACGTAAATATGGAGCACTATCTTTCCGAAAAATCATGTTTTGGAGATAATTTTTCAATTTTCAAAGACAATGAGTCCGAAAGCAAACCCACACTTGCCTTTGTAGTCTTACATTCAAAACATCATTGACCAAATATCAAAAGTTCTTAAGAAATATAACGTGAAAACCAGATTTGCGACTTGTTCAAACATCTCCTAACATCGGCGATTCGTCAGAGACAAAAATCCGTTTGAGATACCAGGAGTTTACAGCATTCCATGCACATGCGACAAAGAATACATTGGAGAGATCAGACGAAAAATATCAAGTAGACTCAAATAACATGAAAGAGTCTTAAGATATTACAAATAAACTCATAAGCAGTTTTTTTATTCGATATAATTAAAATTCTTGCATGTAATTAATTCTTCTTCCAACGAAAAATCCGAGAATCTATAGAATTCTCTAAGCAACCAAACAATCTTAACCAGGACTTATGGTCTGTTGCGTTTATTATTTTTCAGGACTGCATGTCCAGTTAAGTCTCTCACATATAGCTACTAGAGCTATAGAGACCGATAAAACTGGAACTCATGAAGCAACTACATTTTTTTTTTGAGAAGGTCCATTGAACATGCGCATGCGCTAAATTTAAAATCTCCCTTTTAGCCAATGATCTTGTGGCATTCAATAAACAACATTACCGCTGACAGATCGCCAATAAGTTTTGGTGCTCGTGCTCTATTAAGGTGCTAGCTGCACAGGCGAATATTTGCGATTCCCCTCTAAAAACTATGTCGCGACTGAGCCATATATTATCAAAACAATGGTAATCAAGTTCGCGACTTTTCGCCAGCAACTGCAAACTTTGCAAGGAAATATGTATTAGAGCCCCATACCTACTACAATAAAAGTATTTGTTTAAGTTTAGGATATTGTTATAGTTTTTTGTCTTAGGTAAACATTTTTAATTGAATGTGCACAGAAATGAGAAAAAATGCAAATACTTTCCAAAATATAGGTATAGAAAATATTTTATGCACCTTCTACTAAAGGTATAATATACAGGGTGTGCTATTTATAAGAAATGAAATACCCGGCACAACTTTAGACTCCAAAATCACAAAAATTAATTAAACCCATCTCGTGTGCCTATTTCTTCTGTAAATATTACTAGTTACCTTAATATCTATTTTGCGAGCGTTTGTTAATATGCAGATTTTTCACTAACAAGTCACATTACCTTAAGTATTTTTTAAACCATACGCAAATCAAATAAGTCGATCTAATGGAAGTCACCTTTATGTTTACCACTAAAGAAAAAATGCCAATAAAATATAGGGTGTATAATCTAAAAACTCCTTAAATACAAATAACTATTTCATTTAAAATTGTTTGATATTTATAGACTTTGAGAAAAATATATGGGTCACCCGTATGGCTTTTAGATAATATAGTGGCCCTAATATGGTAAAAAATTCATAGAGAAAGTAGTAGCTAGACTTTCTGCGCATGCTTCTGCATTTCATCCACTAAGCTGCACTTTGTGCTATTTTTTTTTATAAACGGAGATTGCCAAACATTTAACTCGTTTTCCCAGAACATTTAACAAGTTCTATTATTCTGAGAAAACACTGGCGTGAAAATACCGCATCCAAACTTATTGACGATCTGTCAGCGGCCATATTGCCATGTGAATGCCTTAAGGTCATTGGTTAAAAACGAGATTTTAAATCTTGCATTGGTCTTAATTTGGTCAAAATTTTCATTAACAACTTCTATGATATTAAAATTCCTTTATTTCAATTTATTGCACTTATTGAATATTTATCACTTACACTGGTATAACGTTTACAGCTGATTTCACGGTAATAATACTAGTTTAGATAGCAACATACCGTTTGGAACGTCATGCAAATCGACAGTACATATTTTAATATAAATTTCTTGGTAGTAGGCGGGTGGGTAGGTGAAAATGATCCTTTTTTTTGCATAAGACTGACAGCTAGTATTGGTATTACTGCTTTAGCACAAGATTGTGTTCACTACTTAAACCAAAGGTATTCTAAAATTTAATCTGCTAGATTCCCGTTTCATTTCATTCAGTCTTCTTTCATTCGCATATAGTTCCAAATACAATAGCAACCTATATCGATTAATCTGTTTCTATGTATGTATTTAAAAAAATGTGTTTGCTTTGTAAATTAAAGCTACACTTCATTAAACGGTAGTAGTAATATAAGAACCATTGTTCCCTTATTTTAATTTTGATTGCGATTTTGACTTGGACATACAAACAAAAAAAAGGTTTTCGCGCTTAAATAATTCTTTCAACCTACTTTCAAAATAAAATTGGGTCGAAAAACATCATAATTATTGATAAATGTCTTGGTAATGACATAGAAATGCAAATAATTGGATATTCATGACTTCTTTCAACAATTGGATGAAAAATTCACATTCAATTCAATGAAGTTTAAATTTACATTTTCACATTTCATAAAAAGACACGATAATACACGTTAACCATATAAGAAGCAATTCTAGTTGCAAAAATGGGAAATTACAAAAACTCAATGCTTAAGGGTTCAAACAATTTATGCGAGAACTTTAAACATCAGCGTGCTCCTTTATCCATTCTCTAAATGCCGAAACTCTGGTAAAGACTCCGGGATAGATATAAGAAGCGCATATGCCACCTGAAACAATTCCTGCCAGTTTTCCGTTAATAACAGCTGGTCCACCAGAATCACCATAGCAAGCTCCGTCCCCTTGTTGACTCAAACATAATATATTACTCTCGCCTCCTGCACAGGAAATAACAGTGGAGTTAATTGCACTTAATGGATATTTGCCGACAGTCACATTGGGTGGTATTGGACCAGCTGGGTCAAATGTCACCCCCCAACCGGATATTGTCGCTACTTCTCCATCCACGTGCACTGTATCAGCATCATCCACCGGGATTGTCACAGCATTGGAAACATTTACTGCTGATTTCAAAGTAATTACAGCGATATCATAGCTTGTAAATGTTTCTCCTTTTGGTACGTCGTGTAAGTCGAAAGCGGTGATTTCAATTTCTTGGCCACCATTTTCCCAATCTGTAGATCCTACCCGTACGCTGTAGTCAGATATTCTGGTTCCTTCGAGCCAACAATGTTGCGCAGTAAGTACCTTTGTAGGTGAAATTAGAGTTCCTCCGCAGTCCTGTTGTCCATATAATAAAATCGCTACCTGGTACGGTACTTGAGAAATGTCAACCTGTTCGCCTCCAATAATCCTGGGACCCGTACTTTGTTTTTGTGGTGCGGCTGCAAAGGGTTTTTTTTAGTTTTTAATTTATATGTCTATATCGGCAATGTTTTTGGATTTTCGACCAAATATTTTTTTGTTTTAACTGGAACTTATTTATTTAAGGCAAAACATATTTAAAAAGATAAGAGGGAATAGTTTTATTATTTTTGATTGGAAAATTAAAAACGATTTGTTGAAATGTTAAAAATACTATGAAAAATTATAAACTTTTCTGAATCTCCTCTGCGTCGGGTATTGACTTTGCTTGTTTCTTCAGAGTGCTGCCTGAAATTGATGGCCGAGGGTCAAGGTGTCATCGGGATGTTTAAGGATGGATAGAAGAAAGTGCTGGATGCAATGATTTTGGCCTTATCGAATAACATCTGACGTCCTGTTTGGTAATAATGATCAGGAACTGTTGATGTCGTTATTTGTCGAAATCGATGTTTTAGTTTCGTTGATATTTTTCGACCTGTTTCTTCGATATATTCTTTGCCACACCTCCAAGGTATGCAGTAAATACCTGATGTCTCGACAGAAATTTTATCCCCAATCGATCGTAGGTGTAGTAGCACAAGTAGATAATCTACTTTGAAAGTTTCATTCTCCTATCAATATTTTTAGAAAAGATTTTGAACAAATATTCCCTCTAAAATCGAAACTGTGTAAAATGTTTTGTTTTCGGGTCGCACGGTCAGGAATCTTCATCTTTGCTGGATCACTTAAATTCCATACAACCAAACATCAATTTTCTTTCTAGACATTCTGAGAAATCGACAACATAATGCTACTCCTTCTATAGAAAATTGATTCATACCGATATATACCTAAATGCAAATCATTTGAGACAGTTCTATGAAGAACACAGTACCAGTCGGATATTGATTGTATCGTGCTCACAATTATAGAGTTAATTTGTATATTTTCAAGAAAGTAGTATTTGTTTCTAATAACAAGTAGTTTGATGATTTATGTAATTCATAGTAACTAACAAAGATCTTACCAAAACAATGCACACAAATTAATAAAATTATACTTAAAGCTAACATATTTCATTTATATTTATACGATTTTTGGAAAAATTTTGACTGTGAATATGTGAAATACATCTTTTATATGTAATTATTAGATAAATAAAACTACGATAAAGTGAATATAGCGTTTCAAATACTCGAGATAAGAAAGTTTTGCGCAATATCTGAAGATGGACATAACAAATGCCGGAAACATATTCTCCACGATAACTGATTAATAAAATGTGAAGAGCGAAGTTATGCTGAAAATTATTGCCCTTGTTTTGGGTTGGAGTTAAATGAAATGAAATTTTGCGTGAGTAAAATCTCAATATAGCACTTTTACTTTAAAAAAATAATAAAACTAATTTTTTTCCCAAAATAACTCGATTTCTAGACATTTGATAAAGCATTTGTTTCGATCAAATTAATTTTCTAAGGAAGCATGGGGAACACTGACAAAAATTTGTCTTATGCCCATGCAAAAACTCCAAAAATTTTTTCAACTTTTTGGGAATGCTTCTACATTCCACCAACCTTGCGGTACTTCGCCCCATTTTCTTGCTAAACAGCAGTTTGACAATCTCGCAGCGGCCATGTTGGGTTTTAAAAAATATAGTAATAAACACGGTACTTTTATGTTATGCCAAAGACACTCCGCCCCGATGCTCGTCTTGCTTCCGTTTCCTCCAGTCGAGACACATTTTTAAAAGCGAATCGCAGATATTTCCATATATAGCTATTGCCTTAATGGCTTACTATAAGGCGTAGGTTAAGATCATTTCTTAAAAGCGAGACTTTAAATCTTGGTCATGCACATGTTGAATGAACCCTCTCAAAATTTCCATTCATAGTTGATACATAAGTTCCTGTATTATCAGCATGGGCATGGCCATTATATCTTTATTAATAATTTGTATCCATCTTTTATTGTGAATATATTTTGGTTGTGTAAGATAGTTTACTAAAAAAGGTGAAGCAAAATGTATTTTTCTACTCCCCTTTGTAATATACCTAATTATACACCGATCTAGCATACCGGAAGTGTAATATTACCACGTCAGTTTCTTTTCCCACGGATCCGAGCCACTTCGGACATTTCCGGGATATTACCACACGGGTTTGGGAGCAATCAGATGTTTTCCGAGATTTTAGGCACGGCTTGAACTTTGACGTGTGTCAATTGGCATGGCATGGCAGTGAATTTCCTCGTGTTGGTTTGCAAAAATTTACCCCGTAGAAAAAGTATAGTATGCAACACGTTTGGTAAACTTTTTAAGGCACTCGTTTATTAAGCACTAGCTTCACTGGTGCCCAATAAACTCGTGCTTCAAATGCCGTTTACCACACTTGTTGCATAATATACTATTAACTTCAGTCAGGCTATTCCTGGCAGATTTCTATTTATTAAAGGAATACCGAACTATTCGAAACACATATTTTGTGTCATCGTTGTTGCTGATCATTCTAGACTTTTTTTGGGAAATTAACGTATTGTCTCCCTTTGGTACACTAATTTATATGTATTTATATCTTTCCTATTTATACTTATATTTTAACATTTTCTTGAGTCATTTTGTTGATTTTATATTCCCCATTTTACTAATATCGCTATTACTTTTGATACTGTGGATTTGTGCGTCGCCATTGAATTTATTGCTTAATATACTATTAGCAAATGAATCGGGCCAATAACAGATCTATGTCCACCAACTTATTGGGTATAAATTGCAACAATAAAAATGAAGAACAATTTTGAATCTTTGTCTTTATATTCAGTCTTGAGTATACATATTAGCAGTTATCTAAAACAGACCACGAAAATTTATTGCCGCAAAATATTTCGCATCCCTCCTGGAATGTTTAAGCAGCACACCTTGCTCTCAAATTATGTACGTGGGGGGACTGACAAATAATTAAAGCATAGTTTCCATTCCAGTGCCTCTCTTTATTAACAATTTCCCGGCATCTCGGTTATAAGTTTAAGATCGACTGAATGTTTACAGCACTTTTATAACTCTACGAGAACTGCTAACTCTTCGATATATTAAGTATTTATCAGGACCAAACTTCAAGATGACGTTGCAAGAAAGAAAAGCACTAACACTACTACGGCTTACCAGTTCCATATTTATGCCATGGCGGAACACGCAACCACATCCATCATCGAAATCGAGAAAGTCGCAGATATGGATTCCCTTGATATCCATAATTGCATAATATCGTATTATTATAGATCCTTTATATAGGTCCAACTTGACAACAATCTGCGTGATCTGCTATAATTTGTTACAACCAAATAGATACTTACGTGAGAGGGGAATGACAACGACTAACACACAAACCATAGGTTATATCACCGAGGTAAAATTAAAATTGATTAAAATAACCCAAATATTTAAAAAATGTATTTCAAAAAATCTCGACAACAATGTACCATTTAAAAAGGTTAATGAGATTGTCAAAAGCTGTCACAATTTTGAGCATTTAATTGAAGTAATGTTGTTGATGTGAGTTTTTTGTATTAAATGAATGCGACCTATCAATTTTATGAAGTATTCTGTACATCAAGGTGGGTCCATCAATAATAGCGAATTATATATCTTGTTTTGTCTGTTTTTTTTTTAATGAAATATGACAATACTGTCAGTGTAACCGAAAACATCATACGGCTCATAACCCGGGAGTAGAAACAATATTGCTTAAAATTAGAAGGGTACTGAAAGCAAATCGTCAATGTCATTGAGTTTCAGAATTAATAAATGTTCTCCAAAGTAAAATATTATTTGATACCGCACTCATTCAAAGGTGCATTTTAAAGGATACGATACGGCAAGCAATCCTGAATTTGAATTTTCCCTTAACTCGTCACGGGAATACGAAACAAACTGTCGAAAATGTCGGTCGCCGGGCTCTGAAATTTTCATCGACGCAACGTAGTTCCGGTGAACTAGTTCGAACTGTCTACATCTCAAACGTTACAACGTATTGGCCCATTTTAGACAAAGGACTATTTCTACATTCTGGCGCGTTTGAATCAAAACATCAAAAATTGCATTTTCGAAAACAGAAATTCCATGAATTCAATTTTCAATTGCGCTTGCTCCTTCCCCAAATAAAAGTCTAATATCAATAATTTCTTATTCAAATTCTACTAGAAAACCATTTCTAACAAAACAAAATGAAGCAATGTATTACAGAAAATACTATTATTGGCAACAAATTAAAAAACTGGCGCAACGCAGCAACAGAAAAAACAAAAATTGAACCTGCGTGATCCGGTTTAGTTAGAATAGAGATTGGTTACTCGAAGTCGAACGCAACGTCAATTTCATTCGAAAGATGTTTTTCGAAAAATCGACTTGGCAGTTAATCCTAAGTAAAGGGACAACAAATGATTTTAGAAAAAACTTAAATGCTCTGAATCCCCGAATTCATAAAAAATAGCCGTACTAACTCATTATATTTTCATAAGAATGTCACATGTAATAATAATCGTAACAAGATCAAATACGACATAAACCAATTTAAATCTGTAAAATCACCAGGTCTGAACATGTAAAGCATTGTGCATTAAAAAGGAAAACAGCAAATGTTAATGCCACACTTGCTTAAAATATAGGTCCATTATAGATAAAATTATAAATAAAAAACAAATCCAGACAACCGTAAACAATTTAAAACAATTACATATATAGAAGAACCTAGTGAAAAGCTCTCAAAACATTTGTCAAAATGTGGTTTAAAAATAGCTTTCAGAACTAACAACACAATAGGAAAATCTTTAAAAACCAATAAAACGAAATATCCAAAATCTCAAAAATCAGGTGTCTACAGGTTGAATTGCGGATCTTGTCCTAAAATTTATATTGGACAAACAGGTAGATCCTTCAAGAAACGCATTAACGTACATAAAAGAGCGTTTAAAAACAATAGTCTAGATTGTAATTATGCTACGCACTTAAATACAGAAAAACACATTTTTAACGACAATTTTGATATTTTACATACAGCCACAAAAAATAGAAAATTAAATTTATGGAGATTGACAAAATGAAACATTCAAATGTATTGCTTAACGATCAATTAGATTTAAATACCTCTCCTTTATTGAATTTAAATTTTCACAACCTTAATTAAGGTTTTATGGTCATTTCCGGTATATATAGTAGCAGGTAGTTTGTAAATATTACATTTGATAAAGACACGGTGTTATCGAAACAATTGTCATGTCAAAATATATAATTTCGTGAAAATCCGAACCTTTAGTTCTTATTTATTTTGATAAATGGATTTTCATCAAGTAAAAGCCACCTCAGTTCAAGTATATATTGTAGTTTGCTGATTCTACAACCGAGTAGCTGTATTAGACAAACCAACAGAAGGATTTCAGCTAGTCACAAAATTAGTTTCGGGATTCGATCAACAAATCAGGATGGCGCCCTGCACTTATCCAATTGGCAAGCAAAATATTTCATACAAGAAACAGTAATAAAACGAATAGATCAATGTTGGCAAACAACAGTAACATGGGAACTACATCCGGAGAAATAAAGAACTGGTTTAAGAAATAACTTGCTAATCGGGTCAAAATATGTAGGTTTCGTTTTAAGTTAGTTGTTAAATATGCAAGACGACTTCCGACATTTTGTGATCCAAGAAAGAAAATTGTTTCTGCTTTGCTTAAGGTATAAACATTAACTTTATTTATGCAATAATTTAAAGTGGAAATTACTTAAAATTTTTAATAGGTCCGGAATCCGTAACCAAATGTTGGTTGAGAACGCTGCATTTTTGATTTTTTTTTTAATATACCTGATATTATGGTAATATACAAAATTTGGAAAACTTCTTGTATATGTTTTCTCTGAATCATCATAATTTGATGCGAATCAAGACAACAGTTGGTCTGAAAATTATGTTTCAGTATGAGGTACTAAATATTTAATTATATGATAAAGATGGCAAACACACAATATAGGCACATTTGATCAGTTCAAAGAAACATTGTTTTTTATGCATTTTTGTATTATTTTCCTCAATGGAAAACTTCCAAAATTATGAGGGAACAATCGATGCCTATCTATAGGGTGGTAGAGCACTTACGTAGTGAAGTGAAATGGTTAAAAACGGTTAGTTAGGTTTACACGGGGTCCTGCGTTAAATTTGATTGATTTGAGGTTGTAAACATTTTGTGCTTGCGATTTCTCTTACACGACCTACAAGTTGTCATTTTAAATGCAAGATATACAGTTAGGATTGGCCACTCTGTGTAGCGTGGCAGAAATATCTACTATAAAACTCACCTATTAATTATCTATCCATACAAAACTAATTACTTGCAGACTACGAAAATATTCATCAGAGGCCTAGGATGGTATGATCACGGACTTAGCCGGGGAAAGGTTTAATTTTATTCAAAATACATAGATACAATTAAGAAATTATCCCGAATTTACTGCCACTTAATTAAGTATAAGCGCCCCCTTTGTACTTTATTTACTCTTAAAATTTAAGCGGAGACATTTCGAGAGGGGTTTAAGGTGCAATTAAGGGGGATTACAACAAGTGTTTCCTTCGCGGAATTTCGCTTTGGGCAGAAAAGTCTGATTGTTTCGGTACAAAAATAAATCTTGTTGTTTTTTACCGAGAGAGATCCTTTGTCATTAGTACAAATTGTATTATCATATAGGATTAGAGAAATCCAATTTTATTCCAGATGGAGGAGCTGGTACGAGAGATGCAGGACACGGAGCAAGGGGGCGTTCCAGTCAGAAGTCAGAAAATATTCCTAACTTCTATTCCCGCTGCCTTCATGGGTGAGCTATATTCGCTGTGCTCTTAAAATAGTTTATTTTTGTTAAATTCACCATTAAAACTAAAAACTAAAACCGTAATAGGTAGTTTGTTTTTAGCTGAGCCCGATAATATTTCTTTAAAGAAATTCATTTCTGATACTTCAGGAACAAATATGGTGGAAAAACTGAAATTTTCGATTTAATTTTTTAGCACTTTATTTGAAAATTTTAAAGAAATTAACAATCCACATTGAACCTTTTTGTAGCTCAAGCTTTTTCCATTATGATCCTATTTAGCGTTTCACTGTGGAGCATATATTATCGGATTTTTTTTAAATTAATCCTGTCACGCTTTTATTCTGTGCCGTTGCCTTGAGATTTTTATGTTTTATGTTTTTATATTATTTCACATTTCATTTCTTGTGTTTTCTAATTGGATATATGAGCAAACAATTCTATTCCATTCTACTATTTGAAGGAATTATTGCAGCGACTTACATTTTTGCTCTCTAATTAAAAATCGTTTTTGTTTGCATTAGATGCATTAATTTAGGTATTATCGTCTAGTCTTTTGCATCTTTTCTTTCTTGGTCAGTGCTGTTGAAATTTTCTTTTCAAGTTTAAATTCCCAACTTCAAGCTTCCGTAACTCCATAACAACATTTTGCGTCACACTTGTAGACCTGGGCCCTGCAACCAGTTGGATTTTAATTTTTCAAGGGTGCCCAATTTTTATGTGACATTAAATAGGGTAGTAAAATTTTATCTTTTATTAAATGGCCTATTAAATTCTGGCAGTATAATAAAAAGTTAGGCTAAGAAATTTTCGTTAAATTCATCCAATTTCTTCAATTTAAGCCGGTTAGGTTTTTTGAGAGGGAATTTATAAAACCTTATTAAACAAGTTTGCAATGTTTTCTGCTACCCACTATGACAATAAAGCTATTGAAGTGAACTAAATGCTCAACAATTAATTAAAAAGCCCTCTTTAACCAAGATTCTAGAATGTAATAGTTATAAATTCATAATAATTCAATTCCCAATAATGTTTAATATATAATATAAAATATTATTGAATTCCGCATCAACATTTAAAAATTTGTACCAAAATCAAGAATTTGATGCCTAATATCTCCCAATTCAAACGGTCTACAGAGTATTAATGAATTGTAAAAATTTATTATTAAGCAAGATGAAACAACGAACACCATACACATATTTTTTAGAAATATGTCAGATAAAGCTCATACAAGGATAATATTTAAAATTTACGACTTTAATTAGAGAATAATGGAATATTTTTTTTTTAATCGAAAACGATAACGGTTTAAACGATAATTTATATTTTTTTCAGGTTACGACCTAATTGAGTGGCTGATGATGCGTCTCGAAATTGAAGAATCCGGTAAGTTTCTATTCTATTCTATTTCATTATCAACAATTTTTATTGTATTATTTCAGAGGCGTTAAATATTGCCAACCAATTATGTCAGTACGGTTATTTTTTTCCAATAAGCGACTCAAAGAACCTCGTAGTTAAGGATGATAGTTCACTCTATAGGTTTCAGGTAAGCTTTTGCTCTCCGATTAGTTGAATGAATTACTGGGGGCACTAGAGTTTTGCATGTTACTCTCTGGGATTATCCATATTTTGTAATTACTCACTTTTTTACGGCTTTCTAGTAAACAGTACAAATTTTATTATTCTGTGCATTATTATTATTTAATAATTTGGTTGAAAGAAAGTCAACCAATTCTTTCAAAGCTTTTCGAACGTTAGTTGCGCATCAATTTGAGTAAGAGAGTAAAACATATCTGAATTATATAGATAGTCAGTATTTGACTGTACTTTCTTTATACATCAAATAATCCAAAAACCAAAAGAGATAGGTGCATTCATTGCTGCAACAATTTTGATTAAGGAAATTAAAAATACAAGAATAATCCTCCACATAAATTAATCAAATATTCTGTAAAACTTAAAATTACATCTGATAATATATAAATAATACTTTTTTATTTTAAGTTACCTAAATGGCAGCATAATAATTAGGATAAATAAAATAACCATTAATCCACATTACAAATAAATACCGTTACCAAGGTGAACCATTTTTAAACTAAAAAAAAACGAATTAAGTTTCCAGGTCTATTTTCTTTCTCATCTGCCCCTTGCATTACGGAAGCCCTACTAATTATGTCTAAATTTCGAATCAACCTCTTACACAAGAGCTTTTTGTCTCGGGGCATCGACACTAGCATCCCATCTAGCTGTTATATTAAGAAACATTCACCCGCATTATATCCGTTACAGTCTCCCTATTACTGGCCCTGGCAAAACAAACCACCAGACAACGTAGATTACGCCATTTATTTAGCGAAACGGACACTCAGAAATAAGCAGAGGCACGGGCTCGAGGACTACGAAGTGGAAGCAATGAACAACCTGAAGAAGAACCTTGCCAACAAGTGGGACATTATCACAGCACAGGCGGAAGAACAGGTCAGTGTTTAAATCGATCCATGTGCTTGCGCATTTCGTATTGACGAACGTGACATTTTTTCATCTTAGGGATACGAATTCCATCCTCCAGTACACCCAATATAGATTTTACAGGAATAGTAATAGTTTCTACGTGACATTCAGTTATACCAAAACGAAATTAAGTTCTCTTGTAATGGAGTTGATTAATTATGGTAACATGAAAACTCGGCTGTTGATATGATATGTATTCAGTCTGACACGTAGTTCTCGCCTAAATAAACTTAGATAACGCGATCTCGTCATTTTTTTATCGCTTTTGGTGAATGAGACATAAGACGCAACGTGACTTTTCTAGTACGTTCCTTCAATTTCTTCTATTAATAATTTTCATCTTGCCTATATAAATTTTGCACTCCATACCACATAAGAGTTTAAGATTCCATTTAACTATCTAACTAACCATGTCATAGCAATTCAATTAAAACTTTCTCGCTTTGCCTCTAGAATTCCGTTGACTGCGAATTAAGTCAATTCGTGCCTTCCTGGGCTATTATGCTTGAAACTCTAATGCGTCATCAGTTCTTAAAACAAGGTTTCAAGAATTGAACTACACATATCAGTATTGATTTATTGACATATTGATATTCATATGTCTACCTATACAGGGTGATTGATTAATACTTGGAAATATAATAACTGCAAAATTCTGAGCTCAAAATATTAAGATTTAAACCACTGATTCGCAGGACGTTTTATTCAAAAATTTGAAAGACTTTGTGCCTAACAAAAAATTATTTGAGTTATGCTTATTATAAGGGGTGTTTTTTTTCAATGTATAGAACTTTAAGTTACAATAAAACAACGATGGATTATTCGATTGACATGAATTTTATTTATCCGAAAGAGAATCTTGTGGCATTACATTTTAAATATGATTTCGGGCATATGACCGCCACGGCTGGCGCGGATGTAGTCCAATCTGGACGTCCAATTTTCGACGACTTTTTCCAACATTTGTGGCCGTATATCGACAATAACACGGCGAATGTTGCCTTCCAAATGGTCAAGCGTTTGTGGCTTATACGCATAGACCAATGACTTTACATAGCCCCACAGAAAGTAGCCTAGCGGTGTTAAATCACAAGATCTTGGAGGAAAATTCACAGGTCCAAAACGTGAAATTAGGCGGTCACCAAACGTGTCTTTCAATAAATTGTGGCACGAGCTGTGTGGCATGTTGCGCCGTCTTGTTAAAACCTCATCTCTTGGAGATCATGGTTATTCAATTCAGGAATGAAAAAGTTAGTAATCATAGTTCTATACCGATCACCATTGACTGTAACGTTCTGGCCATCATCGTTTTTGAAGAAGTACGGACCAATGATTCCAGCAGCCCATAAAGCGTACCAAACAGTCAGTTTTTCTGGATGTAACGGTGTTTCGACATACACTTGAGGATTATCTTCGCTTCAAATGCAGCAGTTTTGTTTGTTGACGTAGCCATTCCTCCAGAAGTGCGCTTCATCGCTAAACAAAATTCGCTTATGGAAATCGGGAAAAACGGCAATCTCGTTTTGGACCCATTTGCAAGCGTTGTTCAGGCGTGAGTCTATTAATGATGAATTGCCAAACCAAACTGAGAATAAATCACTTGACAGCTGTTAAATCGGTCGCCATCTTGAACAGTAATGCCAACTTAAAGTTCTATACATACAATGGCAGATTTTCCATTTTAATACTTTTCTTTTTTTTTTATTCATCAGTACTTTATATGTAAATAATTATTTCTTTGTAATGATAAAATCATAATTTTCCGATAAATTTAAAGTTAGTAGTAGGATTGCAACTAGCATAATATACAATTTTATTGATTACTACTGTTTACAAGATATAGATGCGTTCAACATTTAAAAATAAATTTTGGTTTTTAAAATAACCATTTGATTACAATCTAAATAAAATTAAATAAACAAACAAATATCTAAATGATTTGATTTAATTCTTAATATTACTGTTTATTTTTTGTTTTTTTTTTCAGAGACTTTTTCACCTTTCTGATTTTTCCTAAACAATGAACACAACTCGGCTGGGAATCTATTTTTATATCCCAGAGTTGTATGACATTTTGTGCATAGTAACTCTTAATTGATTCCTTACTGTCTAAATTATTATATTTTATAAAAATTAATGCTTTTGAATACTGCAACGAATTTGCTGAGAGTTTTGGATGTAGCAGAAAACGCCGGCTTTATTGTCATTAAACAAGCAAGGAAAGCTTTCGATACCCTCAATCTATGGTCTGTGCCAAGTTAAAATACTTCAGAATTAAATTTATGACAATATAACTGATTCGTAACTACTTGGATTTGCTTTGGTTCAGTTTCTGTCTAATTCAGCTAAGTATTAGGTAGCTGAGAACTTGGATATATTTACAAATGGCATTGAAATTTCAGCTGTTAATAGTATATTATGCAACAAGTGCGGTAAACGTAATTTGACTCATGAGTTTATTTGACGTGAGCGAAGTGCAGCGGAGCGAATATTAAATAAACGAGTGACTTAAAAATTTTTTCGACTCCCGTCGTAAAATACCTAATTACCCATCGATCTAGCGTTTACCGCACTTGTTGCATAATATACTATTACCGAACGTGTTGCATACTATACTTTTTCTACGATAGATCGTTTTTGGATACATTTTCGCAAAACAACAGTCGGAGTTCAACAAGCGAACGGATGATATCCCGGAATATAGTGTCATATATATATATGTATATATTATATATATATATATATATATATATATATATATATATATATATATATATATATATATATATATATATATATATATATATATATATATATATATATATATATATATATATATATATATATATATATATATATATATATATATATATATATATATATATATATATATATATATATATATATATATATATATATATATATATATATATATATATATATATATATATATATATATATATATATATATATATATATATATATATATATATATATATATATGTATATATATATATATATATATATATATATATAT